TGGAGCGGGAAGATATTAAATGGTAATGTCCAGTAATAAATTGATTTCATTGAAACAGCTGCATCGAGAATGTCCACGAGATAGAACCTGTTTGCTTACATTATTCGACATTCGAAAACTCACAATAAACATTTATGATTGCACTTCCTTCGATTAGGGTTCTTTGACTGAGCAATAGCAATTAACAGTCTATAAAATTTTTGGTACGGCTGTTCAAGCTCCTTTCTAGCTAATCTTTTTATTATTCATCATTTTGGTTTGAACTTATAATATGTTCCTGACTTACAAGCTCTCATACTTCAATCAAAAAATATTATGACCTCTGAAACGACATAAATCAACAATTATAAGAATATAGTCGATTAAGCAATCCCTAATAATTTTTCCCATTAATTTAGACCAAAGCTAATAATCCATCGTCAGCACATTCTATAGGAAGCAATTTTAGCTTGTAGCACTATAATGCCGTCACGATGATTAACAATTCCATTCTGATTTCATCACTTGAATCTCAAAATAGCATTACTTGATATAATATCACTAAATTAAATCCATTTCGTATTAAAAAACGACAACAACAACAGCAATAGCATCAACTATTTTAGATGATTATCAAAAATCAAATAATATTTAAATGAATGCTCAAATGCATATTCAGATCTATTGATATTATTTAAAGTCTTCCTTGAACAGTAAAAATCTCCGTCACCATTCCCTTTCAATTTTTTTAAAATAGTTATATTGCGGCCATAGCTTTTTATAGTTGTAATTAAGGAAAAATATTTGTTTTCTTATATTTTAAGCATAAAAGCAAAAAAAAAAAAAAAAAAAACTTATAACTATTGAGGAAGCTCATAAAAGTTAAAATTTAATAATTTCTAATATTTTCAGTTTAAATACCGGTTGATATTATGAAGATAGGAATAAAACAAATCCATTTTTTTCATTCAGCTTATGTCTCACTAACAAAAGCCAAATATAGCATATCACTGAACTCCGTAGTATTATTTTTATCACTATAACACAAGGATATGTCATTTTTCTATATGGATGTGTCTTTGTAATAGATAGAATTTTTGGAACTGAAGAAATTGCTTGGAAATTAGTCTTATTATGAGAAAGTGATAGCCCAAATCGATAGGATTATCCTTAATCATATACAGAATATAATAATTTGAATACAAACTGACTGTAATGATACCGACCATTTAGGCGGTCTCAAGTTTTAAGAGAAATAATAAAGAAATAAATTGAGTAATTGATGGATCATTTTGACAAGCGGTCTACTTAGGATAATAATTATTGGCTTTGTTCATCCATCATCATTAGAATCAATTGATTACTCTTGTGAATCTTGAAAACGAATAATGAACTTACTGGATGATCTAATTGGAATCCGCTTATCTATCCATATTTTGCCTCATTTTCTTTATCGTGGGACCAATTTTTTCCTCTTCAATTTGGATAGAAATTATTCATTGTTTTTCAAATCATTCTTTTTTGCTAAATAGCTTGAATTCATTTTAGTACATCATTTCAATCGTTTTTCTTTTCATTTGATTAACGACCATGAAGTTATTTCTTTGAAAATGCGCTAATGCATTCACTAGCTTGAAAGCTTATCGTATCATTTTCCCAACTCATCACTTTTTGATAACCACACTTTCAGCCATTTAACATTCTCATCAATCAACAGTGAATTCTTCTCAAGCTATTTGAAAGCAATCATTGTAGTTTCTCATTGGATTTTTCACTTTGGCTTCATCCATCTGACTACTGTCGAAATTTCAATGCTATAGCATTTGTATAAATCATGTCCAACAAAACGTTGTTAGAAACAAATCCATAACCCGCCAAAATAAATTTACTGCACTGTTAAAAGCTTTCCGCCAAACAAAGTTTAGTTATTAAAGTTCATTTTGAATAAAAATGAAGGCTTTATTTTCGCTTAGTTAAAAAACAAAGGTCAGATATTTGGAAAATTCAGGTCGAAGTGGAAAGTGATAACAGTAAAAAACTTTAAAGAAAGGACCATCTGAGAAACAATTGAATGAATGGCACTGATTTGTAACTACTGATAATTATGCTTACTTATAAATAACTCGAGTGTACGATTAATGACAAATGCTGCTATTGCTTATTAGTTACTAATAAAGTAAAGTATTAGATTAAAAAGATGATATATATAATGATGAAAATATATATATATATATATATATATAAATTGATAGTTACTGGTTGTTGATAGGAATTATCTGGTGCAGAATAGCATAATTCTGGGGTCAACAAATGACACAAAGCGCATTTTCAAACAACTAATTAACATGGCTAATTAATCAGTTACACAGTTTAAAGTTTGTTTAGTGGAGGCAACAACTGCTTTATCTTTTTCTTACATTCCAAAGGCGGGAAGGGAAGAGATGGGCTCATTTCAGCAGCATAACTCACAATCACCACATCTCTAATCACATCTATTCAATCGTCTTATATCTGTCAAACATTAATAAAATTTTCATCTCAGAATTTGAGAATTTTTGTTCTCAATCAACACCATTTATTTTATTATATCAAAAGTATTTAACATTCAACTACAAACAAATAAACAGACACTAACAATTGTTCTTCATTCATTCGTTGATTTCATCAAACAAGCAGATATTTCAAAAATTGTTTGTTCCAGCTATATCATGTTAAAAATTTTGGCTAATATTTTTAGAAAAAAATTGTCTAAAAATATTAACGAAATCTTTTTCGCTCTATCCTTACTGCTTAATTCTTTTATTCAAACAAACATTAATTAGCATCCAATAAATTTCAATTCACAAATGTCACACTTATATCTGGATAAAAAAAAAAAAAGTGGATAGAATTAATGATAATAATTACAATGTACACTGTAGTAGATAAACCATTAAACGCTTAACAATCTTATAATAATTTGTTAAGAATATATAATTCTACTCATCAAACAGGCTGTTTGCCATGTTATTGTATTGTTAAGCTTACTTAAGAAAAAATTACTAGAACTGTTTCAATTTAAAAGGTCAATTCATTGTTAGAATACAGTACTTTTTCGCACTAATTAGTCTTACCTAGTCCTGTGTCATCATTTATCACCATCATCATTTATTAAAGAAAGTGTTTGCTGAGATAATTTTCATTTGACACATAGTGATCTATCAGAATTCAAGCAACAAGTAATTTCACCAGAAATTTATACTAATTCAAACTCTGACCTCTTCGTTAATTATGAAGAATGCTAAGATGACAGCAAATTACTAATTATACTGAGAGCCAACAATTATCGTTGAGTAATTCATTAATTTAATGCATTCGTACTTCAAATTTCTGAGTTTCCTCTTATAGCATACATTTTGCTAAAGAACTTATTATTTGCACTGGGAAAAAATTTCCTATAATAATTTATAGCATTATTCGAAATTCTTTTTAAACCGTTTTTTTTTTTTTTCCTTTTTTTTTTTTAGATAGTTATCCTATAGAATGATCATAATATTATAATTAGTTAATAAAGTAGATGCATAGGATGAAAAATTTAGATAATATTGGTTAGCAGTGCTTCAATAAAATATTGTTAAATGGAAATTTTATGTCAAGCGGAAATTTTCATCCAAAGTTATAATAAAAACGAAAAAAAAAGAATATGAAATTTTTTCTTATACTTGACAAATTATTGGATAATCTATTTAATCAAGTTAAGAAAAAAATGAAAAATAAAAAAATGGCATAGACACATGAAATACATCCATTTCTTTATGAATATATATATATATATATATATATATATATTTAGTGAAGGAAATCTCCTATCATGATAACAATTCAAATTCTGAATAGATAATTTAGTTCTAATTTTCTTAGATGCACCATAATGAATTAATCCCCTGCCTTATCCTACAAAGATGAAATATCTCATTAACTTCGATGAATTGCGATGCGTATAATGGTATTTTAATTTCTGTACCGGTAAGTGGAAAGACCAATGAGATTCGCTTGTTAACAAAACAGAGAAAGCTATTTGCACTCAGCAATTAAGCGAACAGTTGTCATTGATACTGCACTCCATCAATCAATCATTTGATCATCAATTCGGCTTACTTTGATTGTGACAAAATTATTGAAAATGCCATTATACCCAACAAGCATCAAATAGTCTGATTTAGGTACAAAATTGAAGTTAACAGTGCAAATTTGAAATAAGCCAAATTGATGATACAGTCCTAATCATACTTAACTGCCTTATACATTTGTCTTCATGTAACGTTAACCATATTATACGCACAGGCCAATAAAATCGGAAATTTCCAAAAGTTTTTAACTCACATATGCAAATCTCGTCTCTGTTGTCTGTTGCTAATATTGAATGACCCCATCATTCTTAAAACGATGCAATTGAATCTCAAACTTCATTAACTAACCTTGCGTGATTATAACTACAGTTGCAATTACACTATTAATGAAACAGTATGAAATTGCGTTTCCACTGTTTCTTTTCTCTTTTTGGAACTTTCAGTGAAGTTGCACAAGTAGAATAGAACAGTGTTATTCAGAATCGATACTTCGTATGACAAACAATAACAATAATAAATATATTGAAAATACAATCACTGGACGAATAAGTGTGAGCAAGTAAAGAAAACGCTATACGGCAAACAGTTACTTGATTAAAACTGCATTTTTATTTTATCACTTTTCTTATAAATAGTAAATGAATTATCTGAATTTTACAAAATTAATTCAAGAACTTCCGTAACTTTTGAATATTTGTTGTAAAATACACTAACTAAAAACTCATTTTCGTGATCTGCTGTATCATTTTCTTTTCCTTTCAAGATATACAGAGGCCTAAAAATTCTCAAATAAACCAAATAAACGAACAAACAGTAAAGGCGCTTCACAAAATGCGAGTATCACATTTGCTTCAAATCTGAAGAAATAACAATTTATAATTTGGGCAGATAAATACAGTAATTTCATGTCCACTAGGAACGAATAAATGGAATGTAACGCATCAAAGTTGTTTTACGATTATGATTGGCATCACTTGCTTCTGCTGCTTGTAAAACGCCTAATTGTGCCTGAGTTAACAGACACAGTGCTGATGCAACTGCTAAACCTGAAGTACCATGAGGTGTAAATTGTCGACCTCCCGTTGGTAAACGAACAGCTAAAGTGAATACACCAGAACGATAGTTACTGCATGGTTCAACCGATATGGGAGTAGCCATCTGTAAACAATCTTCTTAAAAAAGCATATCAACCAAAACAAAAATACCAGTATGACCTGAACCATTTAGCTAACTATTCTGTCTGCAGTACAAGTGCTAAAAGGGATTCTCTCAGATCAGCAGTCTGGACACGACCAAATACGATTTTCTACTTTTTCCTAACTATACAGATACTGGTAACCAAAAATTGCATATATTTGTCTCTAATAGCTACTTACCAAATTGGCTCGTGGAGAAGTCAGTTCAAGCCTCACAGAGGCGAATGGACGTGAAGCCATTTGTTCAATTTCATCATAGCGTCTCTGGTTTCGTCTGAATACTTCAATTCGTAATTTAATCATCCATAACAAACCCGCAACAACGAGAAGTACAACAAAACACCTGTAAGCATATTCTCACTTAGTAGATAGCAAAATATTTGAAATAATTACTGCTTACACTGAAAAAAGAACATGCTTTAAAAAGTTTAAATTATGAGGATAATTCGAAGTGCAGCACTGACGAAGGTCAAACACAGCGTTCTCGTATGTTCTTCGACATGACAGCTCTAAGGCGATTTCTTTTGGGTAAATTATGAAGAGGGATATAAAAAGAGGAAGAGAAACAAAAACAATTCACGAGAAGTGATTTTACGAAGATTATTCAAAATTTCAAGAGATGACTAAGAATATTTAAACCGAAATGTTTAATTGGAAGTGTATCACAGCTGTTTGATGTTTAGTTACTTGATGTTGCATTCAATTTTACATCTAGAAAATAACGCTTCAAAAAGCAAAAGACACTAAAAAATGTTAAAAGAACTTACGCAGCGAATATCACAAAAAATAAGACCCAGTTTATCGGAGGCGACTGCGAAAACGAAATTTGTATTTTTATCGGAGTGGAAAAATTGTAAACTTTCACCTAAAACAACACTTGTACTAAGAGTAATTTACGGAAACGAATACTGTAACAAAGACGAATGTATTACATGATTAATGAAATACAATGAATAGATGAATGAGACTAGTGATTCGAAATGTAGTAGTGACTGGTACGGACTGGATAATTGTCGAAAGTATATCTAATTCATCTTTTCATTTTAAAAATTTTTTAAATTTTGACGAACCAAGAATGTTGTATTAGCATCAGTCCCAAAAACAAATCCAGGTTCAGCATTAGCACTGTATGCACGTCGGATACCATTTTCATCACACACAGTTCTTGTCATTAACAGTTTATTAGAACCAGCGTGCCCTTCGAAAAGTGATGAGTTGATACTCATCGACACTAATGCTTTCTCTGATTTCGGAGATTCACAGACTACCGTAAACTGAACATCAGTATCTCTCTAAAAGTATTTTTTGGGTATAAGGTACCAAATATGCAAGAAATATAAACCTTCTGAAATTCATATCCAGTGGCGACCTAGATATTTTGGAGATGCATTACGTACTACCTTATGTGGTGTGCTGAAGAAATTGATCTGGTTCACATATTTGTCTTTCGGATCGTCCTGATCAAGCTTAAATGTGAAAATAAAATCCACTGTCAACTCATCTGAAAAAAGTTTACAATTACAGGTAAATGGTATACATATCGGATAAAAATACAAAACATTTTGAAAAAAAAAGAAGGAGCGAAATTATTATGCTCGTCTTTTCAACCTTTCACTAAGCACCACTAAACAGCAAAAGAAAAACAGGATCACTTGGTTTCTCTTCATTTATTCATCCAAATTTCGAATACGACTGCGCACACAGCAAATAATACACTTTTCTCTTCTTTGCAGCATGAGATAAAGAATTTAAACGTTGTATTAGACTAGCTTAAAATTATGCTCAAAATAATTCTGTTTGTTTCTTCATTTAGAACATTGTTACAATCGCCAAAAAACTCACAGTAGCACAACTGATTATTTTCAGGATCCCCATAATATTTGGGCTCACATTTACTACAGTTCTTTCCAGTAACACCTTTTGTAGTGCAGTAACAATCGCCAGTTTCTCTATTGCACATTGTTGCCTGACCGTTGCAAAAACATTCTAAAAAACAAAATAAGATATTTTTCAAGAAAAAACAGTTCTTAAATATCATATTGGTAGAAATTCATCCAAGGAAAAAATTAACATATTTGGGAATGTTTAAAAAACTTGATGCATCAGCAAAATCATTCTTAATAGAGCAAAGCCACAATATATAATTTAAAAAAAGTTTAAATGCGAACGCTGACAATTTTCAAAACGACAAAACTAAACCTTCGCATCTTCCTCCATTTCGAGGATCTCCATAGAATCCATCAGCACAGAACTGACAATGTTCACCAGTTGTGTTATGATCACATTGTGTACAACTCCGTTCTTCGATATTCCATTCAAGTGAACGCCTTCTTAACGTACAATTGCTGTGTCCATTACACTGGCAAGCTGTAAAATAATGGAATTTTATCGAAATGAATTGTTCCGTAAATGTGCTATTTGGCAAATTTCAGTTAATGACGACCCCAGTAGACTATTTAGATACAAAAAAGTTTACATAAAATTTACATAGTATTTTCTTCAAAATAACTTTTATGTTCAGTAAGGAAAAGAACAGTTATTACGAAAAATCAGATCCCAATACAAAAAGTTTACAATATTCTGTATAGCAATTTACATTTTGCTTTGAAGCTAAATAAGTACAATTTCTAGCACACCTGAGCAATTTGTGAAATACCATTTTGATTTCCCATCTTTTGGACAAAACAATTCGTTATCGGGTGCTTCAAGGCTACCCGGTAGACATTTCCCCAAACCAGTCCCAGAACCATCGTCACACCAACCACAATTTGGTCCTACGCGTTGACATTCTGCACACGTCTTTTGCTTCGAACAATCCATGGGATCTACAATATTATACTGTTGTCATAAGGCAGATCATATTAAATTCTGCTGATTCATACTTGTGGAGATTTTTACACCAAAATTCTATCTAAAGAAATTGCTACTTGCACTTCCATAAATTTTGTTTTTCAACATAAACAGCGAAGTTTCAGTTTAAGATATTACCCAGTTGGCATGCATGTTGATTACTGATTATATTCGTGGCTGTGACCCATGACTGACACTGTCCATATGGAAAATTGACCATATAGGCATCCATTGAAACACAACGTGAAGTCGTTGGACACCACATGCACTGCTCCTTTATACAAACTTGACAATCGTCATGAAACCAACAAGGTGCTGGACATGACTCATTCTTTGAAGATGGATTCAGCGCATTTAACGCAAGTAGTGACGTGTGTTCTGATTGGGAATAAGAATGTTGCTGCTGTGGTGCCTCACCTTCTAATGATAGATCTGAAATTTCTTCACGTCAACAACTGTAACATTCCATGAAGAGAAGCATATTTATAGTTTAGATCTTCTCAGTAAACGAAGTAATTGTGAATTTCATTAAATTATACTGAAATACTTTTTTCTTATATATCATACTGAAAATACTCTTTTTTTTTTTCTTATACATGGCTTCAGCGTGATCTGGTAAACACATATAGAATAAGGAGAACATAAAAAATTACAGACCATAACTGTTGACACATTTCCATTTAGAATCCTTCATTAGAAACCAACTGCAATGCTTTAATTTTTTGCAAGCGAAGCATTCAGCAGCGAAAAAGCATGGTCGAGGCTCTTCATCCTTTGGACAAGCATCAGATTTCGCTACTGGGTTAGTTCGATCTTTACATAAATTATCAGAAACGCATTCACGACTCCAATGGCACCAACTACACCCTTCTACAGCCGTACACGATGCACAGTCCTTTTCTTCACTGCACCACGATGGTGCCCTGAAATTAAGCTGAGAATAAATATGGCAAATACAAAAGTGGAGCAGATAGAACGACTTCATAGCGTAACATAAATTAGATAAAGCGAAGTCCCATAACATTCATCTGGACACTTTATCAACATATGATAAATGAGAAGAGCCAATGGAAGGAGAGATAATTCAGAAGGTCCAAGTAAAGTCGAGAAGACATTACACTGAGAGTTGACTGGCTATATCCAAGTTGAAGAAACCACTGCAGCCTCGTCCAGGCATGATTATTCGGAATGGTCATAAAGTTATTCAATAAGCATACGAAGATCAGCCTGGAATCGCAGGTATGAACAAGCGGCCGAATCTTGGTAAAGCTGGATTCATCGTACGATGGAAGAACGACCTAATATTTACCAAAGCAGAAATAAACTAGTTACCAAGGTTAATCTCGTAAAATAATTATAGCAAACTCACTTCCTCCAACTAATCGGACATTTCTGCTCCTCTTTCGGATCTTCGTTTTTCACATAGGATAAAAATGAATGAGCATATGATACATCGCGCTGCACAGACTTGCATTTCCCAGCATGGAAAATGCAGCGCACACCTTCTCTCATGTTACGACAATCGTCTGGTCGTTTTAAACCACCACATTCCGCTGCAAATACTGTTCTTAATTTTAAATTTTTATGCAGTGCAGAACGAATTTTCACATTTTAGTTTAAATTCATAGCAATGCATTCAGGCACTAACCTGGAGTGAATTTCACAACATCTGATAACATTACTCCATTGAAACCACCAATCACAAAGATGTTATGCTTTGTGACCATTGACGAATGCCCATAACGTTGCAAAAACGGCAAATTATTGTTTGATAGTGTAAACCAAGTATCACACCCTGGAAAGTCCTCATTATCTTTAACTGTGAATAGAAATTCCAACAGAAAATAAGCATATAACCTGAATGTATAAAAAAAAAAAAAGATCAAGAAACTGAGAAGTAACAATTACTATCCGGAATAAATTACCAGGAATACTCATAAATTGAAATAGGGACAATTTTGAGCAATGAACAATGAAGAAACAAACAAACCAATATCATATGCTTGAATATCACTAGAATAACATTCCTGAATGCGTGATGATGACTCATTGTGCACATTTCCGCCGACAATAATCATTAAATCATTGATCAATGATGCGGAATGACGAAAAACTGGAGTGTGTCCAGAAGAAAGAGTTCGATGCGAACTATAAACCATACCAATCTTACTTATAGAAATTTTTTATACTTTTCATCGGAAGCAAAGAAGAAAGACACAAAACCAAAAACTGAAATATTTTAAAACATTTCTAATACTTAAACTATTTGCAGCCATACTAATTCTGACATTAACACAAAGACAGCAAGCTATATCTAGAACATAATATTTTATGCTCAGCTTCTAAATTGAGGTTAATGCTCCTCGAATACATCCAACCAACCAGTTTACACAGTCATCTAAGTTTACTAGGAAAACACCACTCAGCAAATCTCGTTGTAGTACACTATTATAAGGTATTTAATAATAAAAAACGAATGGTTATCACTGCCCATGCTGCCAAATTTACAAGTATAATGTTTAAATATTCAATGAATATTTTCACGAATCCAAAGCGTCGTCCGCTTATTTTCTACTCAATATTTTAATATCATTTACAAAAAATTATTCAGAGTGGTTCTGGTTGCTATTGCTCAGTGCCTAAACTTAGCCAATTAGAAAGACAGAAAAATTACCATTCTCGATTGTCACAGACATATTCAATTAAGGTACTGCTAACTCGTGACAAGAAACCTTCATAAGGCAACAAATAACCACCATAGATTAAGATGACTTCTTTTTTCTCATGAACATATGCAACAAGAGAATGACCAAATCTTCCTTGCACATGAGGACCACGATCTGGAACAATACTCCATCGCTTGGTGCCTGAAATATTTCTCTTTGACTGAATATCATGACAGTTCAACACTAAAACTTAGGATATAAAAGAAGGTTCAGGTAGAAAAAAATATGTGAAGCAAATATATTTGTACATCATAGATATGAACCTCCCGAAACCCAGCATAACTGCACATGTAAACAATTCTATATGATGTACAATGGGCCTAAATTAACTATGGATTTTGCAGAATATAACAGAAAAACATATCCATAAACTCAGTTTATTCAATTCACAAACAAAGCGTTGTACTAAGAATAGAAAACCGAAATGCTTAATATGCAAAGGTAACTATAAAACACTCACTAATCTTATATTTTTGTATGCTGTACATGTATCCAAAATATGGACTATGTCCATAAAACACGAACATTTCATCCCCAATCAAATGTGCAGCATGGCCAGCAACGGCACCTGGCACAGCATTTGATGCATTATTATTATTATTTTCCAAAGTCCACTCCAAAGTTGCAAGATCCAAACTCCACAATTCATTAGTCACTATACGTTCATCAATTACGCCCCCAAACATATATATAGTGCTCTAAAAATAAAACCACATACAAAAGATGCAATTCAATTTAATTCTGTAGAGCTTTTTAAAATCGCAGACCGAGAATAATCGTGATGTTAATCTTAATATGAACCATGATCAATATTTACCTTATATCTCACAACGGTGTGATCGTAACGTGATCTCGGAGTGTTTCTTGTTGGAATTTTATGCCATGATGACTTTGTAATATCATATACAGCAACAAACGAATTATTAACACCAGTAAAATGAGCTCCACCAATTACCCATATTTTCGTGTCGTTTACGAGTATGGCTGTGTGTGATGCACGAGCTCCAAAATCCCCACTTGTTAAAACTGTTTCAAAAACCGACTGTGTTGTCAAAGCCTGACAACGATCCCCTGTGAAGAAACTGCATTGGTTTCACGAAAGACAAAACTAGATGTACAAACAGTTACTTTTTTGATCTTAATACAAATTCAACAATTGAACTCAATTATTTTCCAACACATTATATTTCATTTTTAATTTATTAACCACAAAAAACCAGTGTAATTGACTTTTGAGATGTGTTAAGCACTAACGATAGCAATAACGACAATTAATAGTCACATTCACAGACTTGAAAAAAAAATTCCTTTTTTCTCCCTTGACCTCTTGACATCGTCAAGTAGTTCACGAGCACATCAAAACATTACAGTCAAATGTATCTAAAACTCGAATAAATTCAATTCTATGTAAAATAAAATATACCGTGGAAATGCATGTTACAGCTACACCGATTATCTGCACTGCAAATCCCCGCCATACCACATGCTTTTGATGTTTTATTCCTGTCTTTATCAGTACAAATCAGCGTGTCACACAGCGCTCCCGTATAACCTTCGTAACACTCACAAATGCCTTCAGTACACTTTCCGTTTGATGTGCAATTATTCAAACATTTGCCATAAGCAAAAGTGATGTTGAAACCAGACATGTTAAATGCTAGGTCACTGAAGAAATAAACAAGCGCCTTTCCAGATCTGATACTTACCTCTCTACCAGAGATAACACCACTGAAACACATTGCCTTAAATAACATAACAAATCATTATTTTTCCAGACACAAAAACACCTAGAATTATAACGAAATGAATTTAAAATTGCTTCCATTGAAACACATTGCCTTAAATAACATAACAAATCATTATTTTTCCAGGCACAAAAACACCTAGAATTATAACGAAATGAATTTAAAATTGCTTCCATTATGAATAAACACTGTTTGGATAATTCAAAATCACAGTGCTATAACCCACATAATCAACATGCCATCAATTTATAACGTACCTGAATGCAGCCAGCTGGTGACTTCTAGTTCCTGTTCCATCATATATGTACAAATGATCCCAGCTACATTCGGTAACTAGTGAATCAATCCGTAACAACAATGCACCTCGTTTTTTCTCATCCTTAATAATCCACATGCATCGGGAGGACGAACTATAATTGCGTGGACCATCTGTTAACAATTCATTTTCGTCCGTCAACCTTAAATAGTACATGACTTTACAAACTCAACTTTTCCGTCTAACTCCTCCAATGATAGCAGGCTTAATAAAACAAACGATAAATAAAATTAGATTACAAGTTCCGGCCATGACAGCGATCACACTGAACACCACCCCAGCCAGCGAAACAACGGCATTTTTCATTCTCACATTTACCCTGATAGCACGGCTTGTTATCACAATTTTTTGATACAGACGCAGACCCGATTCTGAAACATAATCATAAGCATATCCTGAAAAATAATCGTGACTATAACCTGAAGAATAACCATTCTCGTATAATTAATATAATGATTAAACGGACGATCCACAACTTCAAATAAGAGCAGCATTCACCATTAATAATAAAGGCATGCAAAAGTAGAATAATTGTTAAAAACACTAATAAAAATAAAAATAACGTTATAAAGGACAAACCGTTCGATATGGACACTTGAGTAAATTACTGTAGATGCATGGAGGAACATCGCAGCCAATAAGGCAGCACCCATCTCATATAGACATTATTATACTAAATCACCAACACGGGTGCTGTAAATCAAATTGTAAGTAATACAGTAATGAATATGCACTATTAATTTATCTGAACTCTTCGCCGGATAAAACACAACATTTCATCCCTCTCACTCCTTCGCCTTATCCATCTAAAAGCCTACTATAAAAGCTAAAATCGTTCCATAGTAGCCGTTTCCGGAAAGGAAAAGCAGGAAGATAAACAGAACACAATAACCTTAAAACGTTGTTAAAATAACCGCAAAAGAACGCTTACATAACAATTGCAAATAATATGGCCGAGTCGTCATCCCGTATTCTATGGTTCCGGACAAACATCTTCACTTTATACCAAAAACTATGGTACCACTCGCTGATAGTACTAAATTTGTACCACGTTTCTGGATTCTGTCTTCGGAAGGGTGAGTGGATAAGTCATGAGGGTAGGATCTGCAAAACTGTGGGTACAAATTTTACCTACAGTTCTGTCCACTTTTAATTTTATTGCTAGTTTCACTGTCATTATACTCAATTCTGCTGAAGTGATTCTGCAATTGACGCATATTAGAGACTCTTTATATATACTTAAGCATTTTGCAAGAATTCTCAGAACAGAAAATGCGCATGTCAAATATCATTCGATGAAGTGGCACCAATTGCAATTTAGTTGTTGGACAAAAATGCATCTTAAGCTTTTATTGGTAACAGTCTGTATTATTTCATTACTGCCTAAATGGAACAAAGTCCGAAGACGACAAACAAATTCTTTTGAAATATCCTAGTAATTTTACTTTGATAAATATCCTGCACATTTATGAACTATTTAAACCTAAAACATCTCTTAAAATTTCAAATAATTTCCTTTCATTTCTGAGAAATGTGAAAAAGATGCAAGGACAAATATATGAGTTGTATGTGCTCATTTCTGTCTTTTTCTCTTTTTTGTTTACCACAATAACCTTTTTGAATGATATTTTCACTATGTTCAAATTAACGACCTGAAATAAACTACATCATTTTGTTTACACTGTATCATCGTAATCCCAATTGTTTAATAATTTCACTGCTACAAAAACTACATGAATTATTAAAATTTCGTAGTGGTACATAATTCAAAAAGCAGAACTAAATGTCAAATCTTATACACTTTCTCCATTTTGCCATCATAAGTGGGAATATCCGAATTTCCGATTTAATATTTCATTTATCGGTGTAGAACAGATTTCTGGATACCGATAATCAATCACTATTCTCCTGAAAGGGTCACATAATATAGCCATTTAACATCCCTTTTTTTTCATCAATTTATTCGTTCATTATTAAGTTTTCGGAAGCAAAACATCAAAATTAATGATTGCTAAATGACTCACACAAGTTGAAAATTCAATAGACTTTTTTTTCAAAATTTACTTGAACCTTCTCTCACTATCGCATTCTTCTCGCAGCATTTTGAGTTCTTTTTTTTTTTTTCTTGAAGAACAAGCTGAAGCAAGGAAGCATGAAATCGATATTAAAAGCAAGAGATAGATTAGGTATTGGACATGGGACATTCTGCTTCTTTCTCATTCTATAGCGACACATTCCAACGTAGTTTAAGCCTTTTATTTACTTCAAAAAAAAGTTGTTTTTCCTATTTCCAAACCAGATAACTCCGTAATGTTTGCTTGGGATGTCGTAAAAAAGTGTACCTGAAATTTGGCATCGTTTTTTTTTTTTTGGCATGCAATATATGCTACTTGTTGTTGCCACTTAACAGAACTTTTTACAGTTTGAACATTACAAAAGTAATAATAAAATAATGTACCAATTCTTTTATGTGAATCAATGGAGCATTTTCTTTTACCAGTTAAGTGAATCTTGAGCCCGAAATGCTAATTTTACTAATCATTTGGAATATTGATCATCAAATTTGTTTGATGAAGTTGATTTTCAATTCAAAAATATATAAATAGAATAATGTACCAATTCTTTCATGTCCTTGGTTTCAATTTTTCCAGTAATTTTTGTATTATTTACTTTATTCGTCAACTTTAATCATTTATAGAACAGAAATTATTCATCTTGTCAAACTACATTTTTCTTTTTCTTTTTTTTTTTTTCGAAATAGGAATAAAATTTAGTTACAGCTATATCACAAACTGAAGTTTGGTTTTAAATTTTAAAGCTGATTTTTTATCGTCAGTAGATGGTAAACAATCGTTCTTGCTATATAAACTGCAATACATTTGCTGAAAAATCCACTGGGTACGCTTTTCCAAATTTTCATTTTGTGCAAAGGCCACTCAAGCATTTCACCCGGATTGCATTCCAATTGAGCCATTTCTCCCTCTATCTCATTGCTTTTTTATTATTTTTTCTCTTTCAGCTACTAATTTTTAGAAAATTTCAAAATTCTAAAACTAATTCTTTACGATTTTTATTACACTACTTTGTCTAAATATGAAACAATTTAAATTGATACCGAAAAAAAAAAAAGAAAAAGCTAACATCAGTTGCTTAATTGTCGTTATTATCATTAAAATCAAAGTTTTCCTCGGCTCCGAAAGTTCTTTTTTTACTGAGATAATGCAAATTTCTAGATTTTCATATTTCTTGATTCTTTGCAAGCACCTTTTTCTTTCTCTCTTCGTATCATTTCCGGAATGAGATAAATTCTAATACAGTAAAATTCAACAAATCACTCGCATTTCAAATATTTTTGAATTCCTAGTCCGAAGCTTTTAGTCAGTTTTTTTCTTTTAGTCAGGATAGTAATCTCATCTCATTAAAATACTTCTAATAAATTTGAAATAATAATGAGGGTGAATCGAACATTAACACATTTATGCTCTGTAGGAATGTTCATGCTTCAACCTTCAGATAATGATATTGACAGTGTTCCATTACCTTTTTGTTTTTCGGTTCAAACTGATAACCTCAGTCATGCATTTAGTGGACTATGCTTGACGTAATATGATAATATTTAACAAAAGCTACTTTTGTTGGCATAGAAATGCATTGCACAGATTGCAGTGATACTTTTAAAATACTTTCTTCATCTTATGTATATCTCTTAGTTTCTCAATAACTAAGCTATCTAATTCTATCAAAATTACGTATGCAACATTTTGCAATTTACATATTATGAATTTTATATTTAAATTTTCAAATTTAGAATATTCAAGTTTAAAATACACGAAGAAAATTGTATGATTTGATAGTAGTAATATATTAGAAATATAAAAATTCTTGGTAATGACACAGTGAAATAATTTGCTCTTCGTAATAATCCAACCAGAAAACTAAAAGTAAAAAAGACTCTTTTCAACAAATAAGATATATATAAAGTTCTTTTTCTTGGTAATATGTTACGATTATACAAGGATAAATATTGCTGAGAATTATTTAGTAATTCGTTTGAATAGGCAATTTTATTTGATGAACAAATGATCAATTGTGATTAATACTTATTTTTGATTAATTTTACTTGGAATGTGTTATAATATTTGCACCATTTTTTTTAAATAAAATTTTCAAAAATAAGAAAGAAAAAGTAAAATTCCAAATGAAAATAAACAGCACCAAAAAAGGAAAAATGAAAAAGATTGGATAAACACTTCAATGAATTATTCGATTAACAAACATAATTCTTAACATTTCATCATATCATTTCTTGCTAACAAAAATTTATTTCATTTTTTCTTATAACTTTCTCACGATTGTTTAACAAATGTTGATTACATTACAATTAGACCAAGTTATTCTAGTCTCTAGATGCATCAAACTCAGACATCCCAAGTTTTCTAAATTAAGTAAACATGTTATAAGGGAATAAGTGGCAAAGCAAATATATTTCAGTTCAAAATGAAGCTATTTAATTGCATGCATTTTAATTTTCTTTCCTTTCCTTTTATCTTCGAGATGCTTTTTTTCTCCTTCCAAACTTATATCAATTAATAATATTTCATAAAAGCAAAATAATATGAAAAAGCATAAACTATTATTTAGTCATTGGAATTTAGATTAGAGAGCCATCAAATAATAAAGCTTTTTTTTTTCTTTTTTGAAAGGTATATTAGTTTGTATTTTTGCAGCATTTTCAAGGGAAAACAAAAACTTTTTGTTTACTACAAACGATAAAATGATGTAATAGAATGCACTTTATATTTATTTCAAAGTTATATTCAACGGTTACAGATTTGAAAAAAATTAATAAATGCTTTACTCACCTAAAGTTATTTCATTCATTTTTTTTCCTTTAAAATTTGCTTCTTCAGTTTATTTTTACCACTATATGTTTATGGATATATTGAAAGAAAAAAAATAGGTCATTTTAATTATTTGTTCGATGAAGAAGTACACTGAATTTTTTATTTGATACCAGTGGACGTCACAGAAGAAATTATATGTAACATATACTTCCAGGATGGTTAGACGGAAAAGAAACTTGAACTGAACATGAAATATAAAATTTCATAAAATTTTAAAAATTTATAGATGCAGGTAATAAATAATTTGTAAACAATTAACTTCAACTGAAATTTCGACCACATAACAAAAAAATGTTCACAAATTGCTTATTGATAAATACACATATAGAAAAATATTGATTTAATCAGACAATGATTATTTAATTATTAACTTCCATTGAGAATAAAAATATTGAAATGCTTTTTTTTTTAATTGGTAAACTATAAATTAAAAAAAAAAAATTTCTAAATAATGACTGTGTAGATTAGCAACATTAATTTTCTTTGGAAATTGAAAAAAAAAAAAAAAAAAAAAAACAGTCATTCTCTCGCAGTTACAATTATGATATAAGCAGTTGATGAATATCATTGGACATTCATAGAATTCGCATATACCATGGAATCACTGTGCTATAACTCTTGTGTGGCAACAGAATCACTATCATGAAAGTGGAAATTCTGGCAGCTATATGGTTTGTTGTGTTTATCATTTTTCACTTAAAACTGCGAATTTCTCACACTTATCAGATGAATGCACTTTATATTTATTTATTATACTACCAGCTGATCTACTCTTGCAGTTATTCAGGTCTTACTATGCAGTTTGCACAGCAATCCTAAAAAAAAGATATACCGCAAAGAAAATAAACATTTCAGTTATCGTTCATATTACTGCAATATGCAATTTTCCTAAATATTTCAATAATTCAAATATTTTAAATGACGTCTAATATAATTCAAAATTTGTGTGCTAATGTTTTGATTCTTTATAAGTCATTATTGTTGAATTTATTTTGCTATGTGTTTTGCTTCATCAAAAATTCATTCTGATCTGTTCAATAACCAATCAAAATTTTTAGCTTAGATCAATGAACTTTCGTGCTATTGTAAGCAAAAGTGAAACTATAAAAAAATTTTCATATTAATTTTTTTTTTTTATTTCCATATATTTCCATTTTAAGATGGTATGAGAGAAATGAATTAACGAGTAATTGGAAAGCTTTTTGATATATTAAACCTTCATAATGCTTATTCAGGAAGCTTTTTCTTGCTAATAACAAAATAATTTCCTTTCTTATACATACATTTAACATTCACCAAGATTTCTCGAACTTTCAGTTTTACATGCTAGCAGTTCCCGAAATTTCACAACTTTAACATAAATATGCCTAACTTTCATTAAAGCAATTCAAGCTAAAAAGTGAGAACGAAATTTGAAAAAAAAGTAAACGTTATGGAGCCATAGAATTGCAAATTTTAGTTAAGCGCAAATTTCATTAACGCTTAGCATATGATATCTCATTTGAATTTGAGCTTAATAAGATCAATTTCTGCAAATTTCCGGAATATATAACATGAGAAGTACCTAATGAGAGAAAGAAAAAAATTATTTTTAATTCGTCGCTATTACTATGTTTTGATCTTTTATGTTTTTAGTCAACTGAAAATCAGAAAGATAGTTTTAGGAAGTGACATGTAATCTAAAGCTTGTTTATTACATCAATTACATAAAAGGAAGAATATAGTCATCGTACTTCATTGCTTCAAAATTTGAATATTCCAAACTTCGATTAAAATTTATAAGTATTTCAATTCTACTTTAAAACTAATGAATATTTCAGTACAAAAATTGTACCAAAAAAGGATGTTTGCAAGAATGTTGAAAACTCAATGAGGATTATGATGGATTAAATGTAATAAAAGCTGGGCGAAAATGCTAAAAGAATCTTTTTTTGCATACCATTTTGAAATTTGGTAGCTTTAATGTAATTAACAGTTCGCAATATTCTTAAAGATTTAAATAATAAACAAGTGAAAATCTACAAGCAGTTATAGCATCTTGTTTATCAGTTCATCGATATTTTCGGACAAAATAATGAATTATGGTTAAATACAATCATCGGCGATTTTTTATAGATACTTTAATTAAAAAATTATGGTTCTACTAAGCATCGAACAATTGGAAAAAGTAAAAAGTGATGGCCTTTATATTCCGCATTTAGAAAAAGAATCATGTGGAGTTGGCTTTGTGGCATCAATACGCGGTATCGCTACTCATCGAGTAAAAATAATTTTTCTAAATATTTTTTTCATTTTAAATTTCAAATAAGCTTCTGTTTCAATTTTTCTTTCCCCTTGTTGTCAGTAGCAGAAGAAATATTTTTAAATCAAATTTAAAATCACCCAAAATTACAATCAAGTAATTGTCCAATTTTAATTATTGAAGCTTAGGAACAAATTTTGAACGAATTGTTTCACATTTTCCAGATTTCCAGATTTTATGCGATGGACGAACGATGCTTCAACGTTTGGCACATCGTGGAGCTTGCGCTTGTGATAACGATTCCGGTGATGGTGCAGGCGTAATGACTGCTATACCGGATATGTTGTACCGGAATGATCTCAGAAAGTGGCTAAATATCATAATTTCGCCTTTTGTTTTAAATTCTGAGTCTTTCCAATTAGCATTTAATGCAAAGTGTGTTTATCGAATAGGTGATATGTGGTGATAATTCTGATTTATATTAATCTTTTACTACGATGTCTCAAAATTCCATTGTAGCAATGACGAAGGAATCGAATTACCTCCAGTTGGTGAATATGCGACAGGTTTGCTCTTTCTCAAGAATGACTCATACGAACAAGCTATTGAAGCATTCACAGATTTGGCTAAAGGCTGCAATTTGAAAGTAATTACTTGGCGCAAATTACAAACAAATTCGGGAAAAATTGGAGCTGAAGCACGTAAAACAGAGCCATGCATACGGCAGGTGCGATTACCATTTTCTATCATCTTCTTTTCTCGTAGATTGTTGAATATATTTGCTTTTTTTAAAGTATTGGTAAATTTTCCTCCTAAAATTTTACTTTTCATTTTCAGGTTACAGATTATTAAACAATTGTTCTTGATTTTAGGTATTTGTTACAGCACCGTATGCTGCTGCCGATACGGAACTGTTTCAGCGAAATCTTTATGTGTTGCGAAAACAAGCTGTAGTACAATTAGCTAAACAAAAAATTGAGTGTTATGTTGTATCTCTCAGCACTTCAACAATTGTTTATAAGGTTAGTCAGAGATCAGTGTTTTATTTATGTGAATGGTTCCAAATATTTTGTGATAAATCACGAAAATTTCTTGTTCTGTTCTATCCTAACAAAATTCTGTGTAATCTGAATTCAGTAGTATTTGAGATACGAGTGACCAGAAATATACAAAAATGATAACCAAGCACGCTGCAGTGATTAATATGCTTCTTTCCTTTTATCAGAATTTTAGGGACAATTTACACCGAATCAGCTCTATGAATATTATTCTGATTTGACAAATCCGGAATATGTATCACATATGGCAATGGTTCATAGTCGTTTTTCAACCAATACATTTCCATCATGGTGTAGAGCACAACCATATCGGTTAATATTAATAATGTTCAGAATAAAAATAAAAGATGAGTACAATCGCTTACTGATTCCCAAGAATTTTTCTTTTATGCGCAACTCTTTCGTAATAATCGAAATTAGTGTCCTTTATTGCTAACATTAAAATTTTTCCAAAATAATATTTAAAATACGTTTCGAATCATATTACATTCAAACAGATCATAAAATTCAAGTTGATAATATCATAGATTCATTTAGTTATTATAATTTGTAAATTTTGCTTCTCAGTGATATATTTTTAAAAGTACAGGATGGTTGCTCATAACGGTGAAATTAATACTCTACGTGGAAATGTCAATTTTATGCATGCACGTGAAGGCACTATGAGAAGTCACGCATATGGCAATAATCTTCAGAAACTGTAATTTCTTTATTTTTATGATAAATATGTGAAAGATGAGTTATATAAGTGCTACATTAAATTAAGTAAGGATTCTGAGAGGTTTTTTTAAAATCTTTGTCAAGAAAATTTTTGTTCCTAATGATTTCAATGTTTTAGATATCCGGTGGTCGAACGTGATATGTCGGATTCGGGGTGTTTTGACAATGTGTTAGAATTTTTGGTGAAAGCTGGTAACCGTTCCTTGCCAGAAGCAGCAATGACAATGGTTCCAGAAGCTTGGGAAAATGACGAGGTAGTTTTGAAATGAGATAAATAGCTAGAATTAATACTAATTCGCTTTATTTTTTGGGTTGAGCAAGGAAAAGTTTTTAAGATTTATAAAGAGGAAATTGAATTGTTCAACTTTTTATTTCCTTTTATGTTCCAATTTCTTTAAAATGATCAGACTGCACATTGTAAAATAGCCTTAGTGACAGTCTCTAAGATACTGCGCAGTGTCACCGTAAATACTTCAATATCGAGTAGAGCAGATTTCGATAAATTCTGGATTAGGAATCGCGGAATTAAAAGATATTTAATGTTCCGTAATTTTCTGTTTTGATAAGTTATCTAATGATAACAATTGTATAAAAATAGATATTTTAAATCATCTTCGTTCTCACTAAAAATTAACTGTCTAAAAATTGCTGTTAAAAACTGCTCTTCGTCTAAACAAATTGTTTTGGCCCTAAACAATTTTGTTCAGTCTGCTACTAATTTAGATTTTTTTATCAAATGCACTTGAACAAAAGCATATCTCATATTAAAATAGTTCAAAAGCATAATATTAATTTTTTTCTTGAAGAATCTATACTAAGATTAAATTTTGCAGATAACAAGTCAACACAAAGTAGAAATTGGAATTACAATTAATTAGAGTTAAATGAAAGCAAATTTTAATTAACTATCTTTGATTAGGAAATGGCTCCCGAAAAACGGGCATTCTACAGATGGGCTGCAATGTTAATGGAGCCATGGGATGGACCAGGTATATTTTCCATATTTAAAAGATTGTATTAGTTTATAATCATTTTGTATGCTAAATTTATTGAAAAAATAAAAATAACTCTTCATTGGTTATTTTTGATTCATTGATATTTTAGTAAGAAAAAACATTGTAGCGTTAATGACATTTTCGGATGGACGTTATGTTGGAGCAATTCTGGATCGAAATGGTCTAAGACCAGCTCGTTTCTGCATCACTAAGGATGAGCACATTTTTTTGGCCAGCGAAGTAGGCATAGCAGATTTGGAAGAGGAAAATATCATCCGAAAGGTTGGATATTATTAAATATTTCATTATTAAATTTTTTTTTCAAATTTTCAAATACTTTGCAAATACTGCTCAAATTTGAGATCTCTTATTTTGCTCTATAATTTATTAACTGTACTAATTAGTTGTTAACTATTTTGTATATAATCTGTTATAATAATCTGATCTAATTGCATTTAGTGTTTCGTTATTCAGATCTGTGAGTAAGGCTGGAGAATAATTTCTTAAACTTATAACTGAAACACAACTTACTCAACTTAGTCAAGTAAACACTTACCGAAGAAGGATTACAAAGACATGCAATGCATAAAGATTCAGAAAAAATCTTAGATATCCTGCGTCACTGTAACAATCAAAATAGAAAACATAAAAATAATAACTATTGCTAATGATAATTAATAATAATAAACGATAATGTAAGTAATAATAACAATAGTAACAATAATAATAATAATTAATAATAAATATCAGTTGTTAATAAAAATGATAAATAATAATAATAAAAAATAACAATGGTGATGAAGATAATAAATTGATAGCAGGAATAAATAATAACAGTAATGATAGCATTATAAATAATAGTAATGATGACAGAACTATGGTTTTGATTCGTTATTTCATCACATTTTCGCAATTAAAATCTTTCTTAACGATCCTGCAAGCATGAAAAATGTATATATTGAGTTGAGGTTTTGAAGCTGTAGTAATACAATTATCAATAAGTAATAAGCAATAATCTAAAATTCATTTAATTTTAGATTATCTTAGACGAATAGAGAATGCTTTACGTTAGCAAAGGTCATCATTTATTAAAGGAAATCAGGAATAGAAAAATAACAGGGAAGAAAGTCATCAGGATGATAAATGAAAGCGATGATTGGACATTAGGATATTCTTCGAATATTTGTTATAATAACAAATTTAATATTGAACTTAATGAAAATGGAAATATCATTCCTGTACCATTGTACTTTCTTCATAAGATGGGGTAAAAACGTTTTTATTTCATGTTTCCGTTGCTACTCTCCTATAAATGAAATCATGCGGGCAGAGTCAATTTATAATGCTAAGTGTCTTTTAAAAGAATACGTTAAATAAACAAAATAAAGTAAGTTTAAACTATATATGTATATATAAATGTAGCATAAAAAATATATCTTTGAAAAATATTGATACTCATGGAATGGATGAAATTTCATATTAGAATATTATTAAAATTTAGGTGAAATCAATAGTACCAAGTGAAATTTGCCAAAAAAAAAGTTGCGGCAAATATGCAAGTTAACACTCAATTGATTATACTTTTGATAAAAATATATTATTGCATTGCTTTTATAAGAATTATGAATTTAGGATACTTTTTTTTACCAAAATTTATGAGTGAAATCTTCTTTTTTTTTGTAATTACTTTCAAGCTTATAATTTTTATGTAAGAAATATTTGATAAATTGAAAAAAGAAATTGTAAGAATTCAATTAATAATTAAAATTTAATTAAATAATTTGACAAATTAAAGATCATTTAATTATGTATGCAATGTAATCAATTTAGTTATATAATACAGATCTATTTTGACGCCAAACAAATGAAATATTTTATTACGATAAATTTAAATTATTTATAATTCCCGATCTTTATTCGCATACAATGTTATTATTTCTCTTACTTGATTTTAGCATCAAAAGATTAATTAATAGAATCAAATAAGGTTGCTTTAACGTAAGAATTACTGTAATCATTACTGTTGTTAATGATACTGCTTTCATCATTTTGACGCATTATGTGATCCAAATCAATTCGGTTATCGATATGTGTAGTATCAAATTGCGCTTTATTACGTTTACCAAATCGCATAATACCCAAATGTGATCGTATGAAATGAATTGCTTTACTTTCTTCATCTGATCGTTTCCCATGCAAACTGATATCGCTGTAGTCCAATCTATCTACAAATTTTATTCATACAAAAAGTGAAAGTAAAGGTGTCATCGTACTGAGAGCACAATTACGATGAAATTTTTTCTGTCTGAAATAACCCTAGATACTATTTACATGTTCATTCAGCGAAATCTATCACTCAAGAAGCTAAAATTTAGATTGCATTGCTTTGAAACAGTTTGTTTGTTTTATAATTTTTGTGTGTGTCAACAAAAACAGAAAAGGCAGCAAGAAGACTATATAAATCATTTTCCTCATTTCCTAACTTTTTTTTAAAAAAAATTTTACTTACTTTTTTAATTTTTTAGTTTTCGTTTTTTATTAGTTTCATTTTTTATTAGTTTTTATTAGGATCAGGCAAAAAAATCAATTTTTAATTTTCAAAAACAATGACTATTTTAGCTTTAATTACACCAATTTTCTAAGCTTTTTTTTTCAACCTCTTACTAATTTGTATCTTGATATCACCTGATATTAAAAAAAAAAAAAAAAAAAAAGAAAAAAACGTAGAATACTATTTTTTGCGAGAACGACAAAATAATTTGATTTAAATACAAGATTTAAGTGCTTTCAATATCCTTTATTTATCACATACATTACTAGCTTAATTTACTGTAAAATAATTTTCCTTCGTTAATAATTTTTTGAACAAATACTGAAGCTTTTTATCTTATCTTTCATTATTTGATAATTCCACAGGAGGACTTTTTTTTTTTCTTTTAATTTATGTTTAAAGAGGAGTGCAACCTGAAATTCGCTTACCTGAAATTCGCGCACAAGCTTGCATATAATAGCTAGAAGAGAAGAATAAAATAACTGTGATGGTGAATGGATGCATGCGTAAAGAATGACTGAACAAAATGAGATAAGAAGGAAGGCAGAATTCAAAATGTAGCTATCCGAATAGCTTAATGAAATATCCAAGGTGTGTTCGATTCAAATATAGAATCCATTTTGGCACTTCTTATTTATTCAATGCATCTGAAACTTGTTACATATTTGCAAACATTTTTATTTTTTATTAACTTTATTAATGCCACAGAATTTGAGCCTTTTTTATTTGTGTAAGTTTATTATTCCGGAAATATATGTAAAGATTTTCATACGGAAGATTACTTACATATAAAAGTAAAGAGCTAGATAGAAAAAATTTTCACTTAAATATCACTACACAATTGTAATGTGCTATGAATTTTGATATTTTTTTTAACTTTGTACAAATACGACTGGTCTTTTCTATTCAGCAAATTCATCACAATAATTTTTTATGAAACAAAATTATTTGTAATATAATGCTATCTATGAGCATGGTTTTATTATTGAAACAAAAGCATGGAAATAATTTAGCTATCAAATTATTCGTTAATTAGGCAACAGTTGTTAGATAGCTCTGAATTACTAATATACAATATCAAAATAATTTTAGATAAACATAAAAGTAGACATGCATATCCATTTTATGACCGCTAGCGATGCACAGTTAATTGGATAAAAGAAATAAACTTCTTTTTTTGCTCGATGTAATGATTCTATTAAGAATTTCTTTCACAAATAAAACTTTCTTTAAAGTAAAACATATAAATGACGTTCTGAGGAATTTTTTTCTATAATAATTCTTCAATTCACTTTTTTTTTTCAAAAAAAAAAAAAAAAATCACTGAAGTGAATTTTTGAAAATTTTTATTGAACATTTTTAATTTTTTTTTTTTCATAGAAAAATGATTAATATTATTTCCATATTTTTAATCCATATTTGATAATTGTACAGGATACAGGTTTATGAATTATCAGCCAGATATTATAAGCGGAACATAATAATTTCAATAACTATTTTCTTGCCGTTTCAGTGTTCTTAAAATAAAGCCATATTTTAGATAAACAACATCTGTATACAACATATTTCAATTTTTGACAAATCTGCTTTTAGCTTCATGATATGATAATTTAGCATACGTATAAAAGAGGGGAAAAAGTTTACATCTGTACTCATATTGTTTCTTCTAAATAATTCATTTCTCATTACATATTGTAAATACTTCACAAATGAGAAATTATTTAAAGAAAAACTAGTTCTGTTACGAAGTAATTACCACTTAGTAAGATATATTTTGAAATTTTAAAGGCAAATAAATTTTTATAATCATAGCAGAACTAAAATGTTGAATGTTCATATTTCAAATTAACTAAGAAATGTTATAAATTCATAGCAACGTTTAGAAGCACTTAAAATGAAATAATTTCAACCGATATAGATATATGATAATATTAGGATAAGTATTGATGAATCTTATCACATCTTTGATATCAGCCAGGTAGCATTACAGTTCTTCATATTATAACAATTACCTGAATGATCGTTTAATATTCAGTCCACCAATTGCATTTACATACAAAGCATCTTTTAGCACTTTTCTCATTTACTGTTTAATATGAAATCAAATGCATAGTTACATGGTAAAAATGTTAAATTCAACCAAACATTTCTCAAATTTAAAAAACTTCGTTTATTTCATTTAAGTTTTTTGCATTTTTAACTTAAAATCTTTGACACAATGTAAAAGGTAAAAATATGACATTTCTTTGTTTTATATCATCGAATGAATCAAATGTTATTTAAAAAAAGAAAAAAAAAATGATAACACATAATTTGACTGCAATGCCTAAGTTGCCATTTTATTATTATTTTTTTTTTTTTTTTCAAACTTTTGGCAGTTGTGTTGAGAACAAGTTATTATTGATTTATTTGAAATGAATTCTTTTTCAAGGATCATTTGTTTATTGCTTATTATGAAATTATTGAAGTTTGAGATATTTTCAAAATTTGCTTGGCAAATCTATCACATTCGATTTAAATTCTGTTTGCTTCTTTTTTTATACTCGAAATATTTAAAAAAGAGCTTGTTTCATTATTCTTTATATATTAATTAAAACAAGGCAAAAAAGAGGGGCGAAAACCAACTAATAAACTTGTTTGTAGTTTTGAGTATAATCATTTAATAGTTCAAATAGATATTTCTTGCAATATAATTAATGATTACATAGAAATGGTAATTATTGTTCATTTTCGGAACAACAATGTTTAATTTAATGACTTAGTTTGGTAAATTTTATAATTATAGACGTTCACAGAAAAATAAATCACTTCTTTTAATCGTTTTTTTTTTCTTTTGTTAAGCATAACATTTTGAAAAGTTTATTTTTTTATAGGGAATTTTTAATGTTTCCTCTTTTATTTGTAATAAGTGCAATTTATTTCTTTTCTTCTTTTCAAAAACTGTTTTAAAATAAGCAAGAAAATAAATAATTTGAAATAACTAACCGAAAAAAGTCAACTTTTGATTTTCAATTATTATTAATCCTTTTTTTTTTCAGCACAGTTTTAGAAGTAGTGAAATTTTCCAGAATAATAAAAGAAAGAAATTTATAAAATAAGGAAAAATCATGAAAATAAAAAAAAAAATAAGATGGAATCGGAAAAAAACATAAAATGCATTTTTGCATTACTAAATTTATTACAATAATTTATTCTAAAATTGAATGTAGTAAATATTGCTAAAACTACCAAGCAAATAATCTAATTATAAATAAATAATAATTGTTAACTATTTTCAAACTTAAATTCAAAACCAATAATAACATGAGATTTTTGAAATAATACAAAAGATGAGTTTATACATAAACTCGAAGAAATAGCTTTTATTAATATTAGTAGTAGTTTACTCACTTTTCAAAAACAAATTATTATAATTCAAAATGAAATCAGAAAGATTAATGAAATTTGCCAAAAATTATTTCAACTATATTTTCACAAACTTCAAAAGAATGTAGAAAAAATCGTAATACTTCTGAAAAAATTGCACAGCTTGAGTTATTGGTAGAAAGAATTCTTGATAAGCCTCCTCATTTATGATGACAATAAAAAGTTATTGAATACTGTGACAATTTTTCAGATAGCGTTGACGGTCCTGATGATAGTTAAAAAAAGCCATGTAAGTAAATCTTCCATATATTAAAAAAGTTTTCATCAATTTCCACAACTCTTAATATTAATTAGAATCAGATCATTTCAATTTTAACTTTTATTATCAGATCAGCAAATATTTAACTGTTATAACTGTCATTAATTGATATAATACTTTCTTCATCGGAAAAGTATTATCAATAGCAAACAAAGTAACTGATGAATGTAATTTCACATTTTACTATTTATAATAATAAGTAAAATAGTAAAATTGATGAAATATGCTGATAGTTGCTTAAGTAGTCTAACCATATCGTTGATCAGGTAAGCGTTTTACTAGGTACACTATGGTGAATTTTATGCAAGTATTGTTAATTTTTATAACTAAATTTATTGAAATTGATGTTACTAAAATTTCAAAAAATAAATATCAAATTGAAGAAATATTCGAACATCCTTAATAATTAGTACACAAAGTTAAGGCTAATTAACAGCGATACGATAGTTTAAGTCGTAACAGTGCAAAATAAATTGTCTTAATTGTTAAAAGAAAATTAAATTGCCAATGGAAGCAACATGAAACTATAACCATAAGCATTTTAAATAATTATTCTACATACGGCTAACTAAGCTTACAGACGTGTTATTTTAATGATTAATGGCTTACATTTAATTTTATTTAAGATCTTTCTTCATTAATAACACAAATTCTACCATTTGATTTTTAAATGCTGTAGCACTTACTGAAATATTGTTGCGGGATATTATTACAAAATAATAGTGACATAATTCAAGGGCAGTACATTTACTCATAATTCCAATTTATGAATGAATTTTTAAATTAGATTTTTTAAAATTTTTGATCATTTTTTTCTTTTTTGTTCTTTGTATCTATTAAATTTGGGAATATGCTAATCAAAACAAGCTTTTATGATTACATTAAATCTTTTAATCTAATTTCTTTCTTCTAGAAGAGCTGGTTAATTAGCTTGAAATTATTACATTTTAATGAAAATTTATCTTATCATGTTCCGTTAGTAGTGCCTTCATCTCATATTGTAAGAACTGAAAGCATTCTTTGCATGCTGTAATGTTACAAGCTCAGAAAATTGTAGATGTGAATATCGGGGACAAAGTTCAAGTAACTTATCCATTAATTACAATCATAATTATACTCTCGTAATTATTCCACAATTAGACTTAATATATTGAAATGCATTTGATCGTAGTAATTCCTGATTAATTCATGATTTTTTAAAAGCATAATTATGAGTGTATGTTTAAAAAATTTGAAAAAAAAAAAAAAAAAAAGATCTTTTCTTTTCACAGTTCTATTATTGTCCATTGTTTACGCTCAATCTTTTTTCAAATTAATGAGAAATCACCAGATATTTTCGAATTCGGTAAATATGTGAAATCGGTTAAGGCTAATAAATACTTATTTGAAACGGTGAATTAAGGGCAGATTTCGTTCATTAAAATTGCATTGAAATTTTCTTCGAATTTGTAGTCGATAATCCACTAATCAATCGTTTATTAAGTGTATAGTTTATCAGTATATATTATTGCATTATTTCAGGATAGGCTACGATCTGGTCGTATGTTACTTGTGGATACCGTAGAAAAGAAAATTGAAGAAGACAATGATTTGAAGCTACGAATAGCTCTTTCACGACCACACAAAAAACTCAGTTCGGCTCGAATATATCTCGATCAACTTCGCAGAAACGATGTGGTACTCTGAATTTTGCATAATTTTTCTCAACTAAACGGCTATAATTTTAAGCTAAAGAAACTTCGAAAAAAATCTATTAAAATTAAAATATAGAAAATATTTTTCATTAGCATACAAATAATTTTGATGCTTTATTTTATCCCTAAAAATCAAATCTAAAGTCATCAAATCTGAAGATCAAAAACATAAAATAAAAAGTAAGGAGGAATAATTTAGGAAATGATTTTCTGTGTTCAGCAAGACTTATTCTAATAAATAATCAATTGTGTGACATTAAAATGAGATAAACAAATGGTGATAGTAAAATTTTACACTAGAATAAAAAGGAAATAAAAATATTATTTAAAGTTATCACATGGTGCTATAACGAATGAGTACCTGATAAAACGCGAGCTAGAATTTCAATGGAATGAAGATAGTGATCATCGGATATCGAAGAAACATCACAGAGATTTCCATCTGGATGAAGATCGACGTCTCATGGCATTTTCATACACACCAGATTCATTCGCTATGCTTATTGCACCAATGATTATTGAAAAGTAAGTTGAAAGAACATATGTATAAGTTACATAATTAAAACAAGTTAACGTATTTAGTTGTAAGGGAAATTCCTAAAAAAGTTTTATTATTAAGGAAACTTATATTATTAAGAAAGAGTAGAAAGTTACATTTAGTAAATTAAAATACTTCAGATTCAGTTAAACACCAAAGAAAAGAAAATGAACAATAAATTTTTCAAGAAAAGAAGAAAACTGAAAGATAGCTTTAACCTTATTTTATAATAATGGAAAATATTTTCTATCTTTCATTAGAACATAGCTAATTTATCATTTGGGCTCTTAAAATTTGTTTTTAACACTATTTTTTTTTTTTTTTGTTGTTTATCTAAATTTGTTATTAAAAAATTAGTTGCAAATGAATACGTTTATTTTTTAGGAAGGAAGCATTAGGTTCAATGGGAAACGATGCAGCTTTAGCATGTCTTTCTGATTATAGCCCACAAATCTTTTCATATTTTCAACAACTTTTTGCACAGGTTTACAATTATTTTGTATTTTATTGATTTGTGAGAAGTGTCGCTGATAATTTTTTCTCTTCGAATTTTGTTATCATCTGTTAGCACTACTGAGATATTGATTAACTGATGAAATATCACGTTTTTTCTGATTGTGAAATATGGTTCAGTTTCATTAAAACGGAAGATAAATGAATCCATGAAATTTTTGTAGGCTGAATAGTAAATCATAGTGAAAAAGATGAAATGCATTATTAAACTTAATGACTTTCCAATTCTTTCTGAGAGCTCTTTGAAATCGCATATTTTCCTGCGAATTGGAATGATCTTAGCTAAATTCTTGTTATGATCATGATCATGATGTGCAACAAACATATACTAGGTAACGAATCCACCAATTGATCCGTTTCGAGAACAGATTGTGATGTCACTCAGGTGTCCTGTGGGACCTGAATCTAATTTGCTAGAACCAATGGAAGAATTGGAAGAACGATTGATCCTAGAACAACCAGTCTTATCTCTAGTCGATTTGGAAGTACTCATAGCATAAATATTTTTTGAAAGTATTAATATGCTAAGTTATCCTTCGATAAAAAAACATTGATACTCATTCTCAGATCGAATTTCATTGGTAGCAAAATGCAAGCAAAGTATTGCAAGTCAAACCAAATTAATTATTTTTATATATTATTCAGAGGTGTACAGGATTTGTGAGATAATTTGTCAACTTTGCAGGTTTTGAAACGCACAACCTATAAAGGATGGCGAACAAAAGTGATTGATGTTGTTTATCCCACCAAACATGATTCTAAGGTTTTACTATTTTCTATTTCAAATCTTTATAATATCTGTAACAAAAACTATGACAATGATTTCTTCTCAGGAGAAAAATGCTAAAATAGTTGATATTAAATAATGTATTTTATTGATTTTCAAAACAAATGAATCATGAAAATATCCAAAACAAACATTACAACTTAAGCATAAATGCGCTATAAGTAGATTAAAAAAAGCTTAAAATAGAGAGACTGCGTTGTGGGAATATTTTTGAAACAACAAGAATAATGACCGTAAAGTTAGGTTAAAAATGAAATGCAGGGATTGTTACCAGCCCTGGATCGAATCTGTAGTGAAGCATGTGCGGCAGCACTCGATGGATATCAGATGATAGTACTTTCTGATCGGAAAGTATGTCGACAATTGGTAGCAATTAGTCCACTTTTGGCACTTGGCGCTGTTCATCAATGCATGTTAAAGCAGCAGTTGCGCATGAAGGTAGTTTTGTCACTTTTGTCAGATGTCGTCACTATTCTGAGCAATATTTAATGATTTCAATTGCTAGCAATTTTAGTATTAATTTTGTGATCCTTTCAATATACTCAAAATCTCACTCTATTTCATCTTAATTAACAATAAACGTGACTGATTAACTTAATGGCTGATAAATTTGAGGTAGCATTGATAGTTGAATCGGGTCAAGTTAAAGTTGTACATGATTTCTGTGTTTTGCTTGGTTACGGTGCTGATGCAATTTGTCCATATTTAATATATGAAACATGCCATCGCCTTCGCAATATGGGTCTCTTTGATAGTGAAATAAATGATGAACAGGTTTAATTTTTTTTTTTTTTAAATTTCTATATAAATATTTTACTTTTCTTAATGGTATTCATTTAAAATTTCAAATTTATTGTTGCATATCAGTTTATTTATTCACTTGCTAATTTGTACAAAACAAAAATACATTTCTTTTTAACAGGTATTTCAAGGATATAAAGCTGGTATCGAGCGTGGTATTTTCAAAGTTATGGCGAAAATGGGAATAAGCACTTTACACAGTTATAAGGTACTGTATTATTAAGTCATTAAAATATATTGATTAAAATTTTGTTAGAAATTTAAACATTTGCATAATCAATTAATTCATTAATCAAAATTTCTCATATTTATAGGGAGCGCAAATTTTTGAAGCCGTTGGATTAGCTACAGAAGTTGTAGATCGTTGCTTCACAAATACTGTATCACGTTTAGGTGGAGCCAGTTTTGAAATTCTTGCAGCTGAAGCATTACGTATACATCGAAATGCTTATCCAGCAGCTTCAGATAAAGAATACAATTATGGCATGTTTATTTTATTTTTATACAAATTACAGTGAAGTATATGCAATTGTTTTTTTTTTTTTTTTATGTTTAAATTGTTCGAGATTAAAATATTCATAATTAAAAAGAGAAAAAAAAGTATGTTTGCTACTTATGCATCATAGTTAACATTTTAAGGTGACAGCAAAACTTTGATCAGTCCTGGAATATTTCATTGGCGAGATGGCGGTGAAAGACATATCAATGAACCAACAAATATTGCAAAATTACAAGTGAAATTACTTAATAACTTTTTTTGTACAAAAAAGTTTAATGCTGAAATTAGTGTAAATTGATATGAAAGTTTTTTGTTTGCTAGTGCCAGTCACATTTTTTAAATGATTTATATAGTAATAATTGCTTAATAGAAATGAATCTCTCAATTTCTTTTTGTAATTTAAAGTGGATAACTAATGACACATCTTATCATTATTCATTTAGGCAGCAACAAAATTAAATGATCCCAAAACATTCCATGAATATTCAGCAGCATCTAATCTTGCTCAACGTATGTGCACATTACGTGGACAATTGGAAATCAAAACAAGTAAAAAATTGCAAATACCGTTATCAGAGGTAGAATCTGCTGCAGAAATCGTCAAAAGATTTGTTACTGGTAAATTTTATTTTGTTTAATTTCGAATTTTCAGCCAAAAATATTCATTGCTAAAACTAAATTAATCTCCAAAGAATGTTTTTACTATTCTTGAAGACTGATTCAAATCAACAAATTGTTTTATGCAAATTATTTGAAATCTTAACATTTTTTTTTTTCAGTAAAAATATTAATTTTAAGTTGAAATAACTGCAGTCAAAATAAAAATCTAAAAAAAAAAAACCTATAAGGAATGATAGTAAAATGGAATATCGGACACTTTCTCACCATTTTTATCATTTAGGAGCTATGTCATTTGGTAGCATTTCATGGGAAGCTCATACCACTCTTGCTATTGCAATGAATCGCATCGGTGGTAAATCAAATACCGGTGAAGGTGGTGAAAAACAAGAACGATACAGAAGTGATCAACCCAAAGAATATAATTTACGATCTGCTATAAAACAGGTTTTCTTTTACAATGATGAGTTGTATTCGATTATTGAAAAAGCTGTAAAAAAGCATCACTGACAAGGTACTACTGATGATTGCAGATAGCGTCAGCTCGATTTGGTGTGGACAGCGCTTATTTAGCAAATGCTGATGAATTACAAATAAAGATTGCCCAGGGTGCAAAACCAGGTGAAGGCGGAGAACTACCAGGTCACAAGGTCAGCATAGAAATAGCGTCAACACGGAAGTCATCTCCGGGTGTTGGTCTTATTTCACCTCCACCACATCATGACATTTATAGTATTGAAGACTTGGCGCAACTCATTTATGATTTAAAATGTGCGAATCCATTGGCTCGCATTAGTGTTAAATTAGTTTCTGAAGCAGGTGTTGGAATCATTGCTGCTGGTGTCGCTAAAGGTAAAGCTGAACATATCACAGTATCAGGACACGACGGTGGTACCGGTGCTTCAAGGTAATCTTCAAGAAAAGACAATATTTGATAAGGAAAATTGATAATCATAGCAACACAATGTTAGGAATTAATTTGTTGAAGTTTAAGCTAAATAAACCATTTAAATCCAATTAATTTTATAAATACCTCTTCTTTCATCACTCTTGTCTCAAATCAGTGCATATTGCAATAAATTTCTATTTACCGCTATAAATGAAATCAGTGGAAAGTAATCAATAAATAGATTAAATTAAGTTGGACCGGAATAAAACATGCCGGATTACCATGGGAACTTGGAATAGCTGAAACTCATCAAGTGCTATGTATGAATAATCTACGGAATCGTATCATTTTACAAGCTGATGGTCAGATTCGAACTGGTCAGTTGCAAAATTTACTGTTACCACTGAAATGTGATATTTTATTCTCTCGAGAGGAATTAAAGTGGATTAAAATTATTGCACATAAATATTTGTTAATTTGTTATTTTTGACGCCCGCTAAAGCGCTGGCAAAAAAAATTTTGATCGGTCTTTATAGTTTCTAAATTTTAAACAAACTGTCAATTTTTTTTTCCAGGACGTGATGTAATGATAGCAGCACTGCTCGGAGCCGATGAATTTGGTATGTCAACTGCGCCATTGATTGTTCTTGGTTGTACAATGATGAGAAAATGCCACTTGAACACTTGTCCTGTTGGCATTGCTACTCAGGTCACTTCGTTCAATCTAACAACAAAGAATTAACTAAAATTTTAGCTCGGTAAATGATTTTGATTATTTGAAATCTTGTAAAGAAGGAAGTGAATTTTTTTAGGATCCAATTTTACGAGCAAAATTCAAAGGAAAACCGGAATATGTTGTCAATTTCATGTTTATGGTTGCTGAAGAAGTGCGTTATTTCTTATCGAAACTGGGCTTGCGAACTTTACAGGTATCATCAATATTATGTTTAAATTTTTAAAGCAGTGAACGTGTCAAAGGAAATATTTTATATACAAATATCTGTTTCAACAAAATCTTATTATCATAAGTTTTTTTGATCAGCTTAATCTAAGTTCAAAATTTGGTCAAGTAATTTGATTTAGAGTATAACTTATTTTTTTCATCTCCAGCATAACTTATTTTATCTTTATCAACAAATTCATCTTGTTTATGAGTACTTTTTTCATTCTATGTTGTTATGATGATTTCCACTCACAAGCTTTAATTCAGGAAGCCATTGGACGTGTTGATTTGCTATATGCAAGTCCGAGTCCAATAAACAAGAAAGCAACCATGCTGGAATTTGGTAACATTCTACTGAATGCTCAGAAACTTTTCCCGAACAATGATATTCATGGCAGTACTGTTAAACAGGTTTTGTTAATTTCAAATTCAAGAAAGAAAATTGAACATTATAAAGCTCTATATTCTGTCAGTTACAGTATGTCTGATATGATAATTTCCAGGAGGTAAATATCAGTGATTTGGAGAAACGAATCATAAAAGCAGCAAAAGATTTGTTTGATGAAAATGGTGGACGTAGTGGTCATAAACTTTTTAAGGATTTCAAGATTGTTAACACAGATCGTGCATTTGGCGTTAGATTAAGTTATCACGTAAGTGTTAAACTCATTAAAACATCGGTACTTATTATTAAATTATGAAGAGCAAGAAATCTATTTATTATATATTTATTATATATAGATATATTTATTATATATAGATATCAAAACAGTTCGGTGAAACTGGATTATCGAACGATCGCTCAATTCGTATCAATCTCGTAGGACATGCAGGGCAAAGTTTTGGTGCATTTTTGGTGAAAGGTGTATCACTTTATCTCGAAGGTGACGCTAATGACTGCGTTGGCAAGGTGATTGGTATACTGCAGTTTTAATTGATTTTTTTTTTTTTTTTAAATTGAATTCGATTAAAATTATCAGGTTCGATCATTCCACAGCAATATTAATCGAATTCAATTGAGAAGGAGTTTTGAAGACATTTGCAAACGTAGTTCAGAACTAATGTAATCACAAAATCAATAGGTGAAAATTATATAGCTTCCTTATTTTATTTTAACTACCTATACAGTTATATCTATGACATAATTTTACATTTCTGTATCGATCGGAAGAGCGGTTAATCTTCCTTTTAACTTTTCACAGATTTCAATTTCCATTATAATGAGTTGTAGGATGTGAACATAGTTTCTGGAGTTTGTTGGCTTCAAAGGTTAATACTTTATATATAGTTTACATTTTATAGTCATATATTGATTATTAGTTTAATTTCAATGGTGGTAAGATCTAAGTGATTCATTTGATTTTTTTATGAACTTTAGGGCTTATCGGGTGGCAAAATCGTTATCTATCCTAATCGCAATGCAACTTTCCCTTCAGAAGAAAATTCAATTATTGGAAATGTAGCACTCTATGGTGCCACCTCAGGTGGGTTGCATAGCAAGTCTTAATTTTAAAGCTTATAAGGTGAAGCATAAGGATGAAACTGATCTTCAGATCCGATTAAAAATTATCAGACTATAAATTCAAGGCAATTTTTTTGTCATTATCTTTTATATTTTATGTAGTTTAACTATTCACTTTTTTTCTCATAATTTCAATCTTGTTTCTGTATTTTCAGGATTAGCACTATTCCGCGGTGTAGCAGGTGAACGATTCGCGGTGCGTAATTCAGGTGCTGATGCTGTAATCGAAGGTGTTGGTGACCATGGTTGTGAATATATGACCGGTGGGAAAGTGATCATATTGCATAGCATTGGACGAAATTTTGCTGCCGCTATGTCGGGTGGTTTGGCATTCATTTACAATGGGTTATATATTATTTGATTTATATTATCGAATTTGTCATAATGATAATCAGAGTGAGTGTAAATGATTGAACTGGCAAAAAAAGAGAAAAAAATATGTAAATTAAACTAGATTTTCGATTATTGTTTCAGGATATGATTTTAAGTGTTTCAGCAAAGGACAGTTAATCCACTACATTAATATGGCAACAATTGATTTGGAAGAACCAGACAATGAAGACTTGGAATGGGTAAAACAGATGATCGAGATGTTTGTTCAGGAAACTGGATCCGAAATTGGTAGTGCTATCCTAAATGACTGGAACATTGAGAGCGAAAATTTTATAAAAGTAAACATTATAAAAATCATTTTTTCTTTAAAACTTGTCAACTGTTCATCAAAATGTAATAAATTAGATTTTTGACCTTCAATAAATTTGAGTTTCAAATTTACAAACTAACTGTAACGAATTTGGCAATATTTGTTTCCTGATTTTTATTCCTGATAGCAATTTTTAAGGTTTTCCCGAAAGATTATAAACGGGCACTAGAACGTATCAAAGGAGTCGATGCAGTCAGAATTGCAAAAGAAAAACAAGAAGCTCTAAAAGATACTGAGGTTGGTGGCAGTAATTTCATCTCACACTTATTTTGTGTTTTTGTCAGCCATTCTAATAATGGCTTATTTTGAAAGCAGTTCATCATTGATTTCATGAAGAACCGTAAATAAGTAGCAGAATTTGGGAGACTTTTTTGAAAAAAAGTCAATTTAAAGAATTTCACCTCAATAGGATTTAATAGAAGATGAGGTATTTTCACAAACAATAACTGCACGAGATCGTAAATTCTCAATGGATATGCAAATTGCTGTCGAGCCTGTACGACGAAAAATGGTTAGTGTAAAGTTTGCTGTAAAAATTAAAAATGAAATTATAAAGTTATAAGTGATAAAGCTTGCGCAAAATGATTTGTGTTTTATTTAAGGTAAATACGAAATTCCTAAAAGTTATGACAATAAGAAAGTTCCCAATGCACTTTTATTTAATTTTAAAAATTCATTAGTTTTGAAGGAGAAAAAAATTAGCAATGAATTAATGAAATTATTAATTGGCCATCCTATATATTAAGAAATATAAGAATTTCCAGACCCTTGGTACAGAGAAAAACAAGCACCTTTCAGTACCCAATGTTAGTTTCATACTCAAATTTCTTGTCTTTTTTTTTTTTTTTTTTTTAACTAGCATAAATTTGAATGAAAATAATGACGTCTAGGTTAGACAAGCTATGCTTATTTATATTTTCAAAAACAAGTAACATTATGATCTTGTCTTAGATTGGAAGTCATCATCGTACATATTCAAAACTTGTTCGTCCTGAAGATTATACTGGTTTCGAGGAAATAAAAGACCCACAACAGGAAGTTGAAGAAGAGGATGAAGAAGAGGAACCTTCAGATATCGATGAATCAGATATTGAAGATATAAATGAATATACGATTGATATTGAAAATATTCATATGCTAAATATTTCGAAGAAAAATAATGAACCACTAAATAAACTGAGGTTCTTCTTGTTTAATCAATTGTATTCCATTCATTTGAATCTCACATCCACTGTAAAAGTTACTATTCGTTATTTCTCGTATACTAATTAGTTGTGGTTCTGAATGATATTAGAAATGTATCTGGTATATACTTGACTTTAACTTTGTAAAGAAGAACAGGAGTAGTAGCTGATTATTATTATATACTAATTGAAGACGTTGTTGCAGAGGTTTCATGAAATATCGTCGCCAAACAGTGGTTTATCGGCCCGTTGAAGAACGAATAAAAGTTTGGAACGAAATTACGGATTATGGCGCAGTGCGGTCAAATATTCGTGTACAAGCAGCGAGGTATTTTTTTAGTAGATTATATGACTTCAATTTAAGTTGACTTAAATAATTGCCAAATCTAATTTAGATGTATGGATTGCGGCGTACCATTCTGTCAGGGAAATACAGGATGCCCACTTGGGAACATAATTCCAAAATGGAATGACTATGTCTTCAAGCAGAATTGGCGACAAGCACTCGAGCAGCTTTTGCAAACAAATAATTTCCCAGAATTTACTGGTCGTGTTTGTCCTGCTCCTTGCGAGGTTAAATTCAGAATTTCTTTGAATTCATTAAATTATGAAGTGTATCTTTGCATTATTCATTTATCTAGTCTTATTTTACGACAAGCAGACTGATACTACTTACTACCTCTCTAAAGTTGCTACAGATTTTTATTTGTTCGAACTAATTAAAAGACAGGATGACAAATTAATTATGCAATTGGAATAAGTAGAATTTTAAATTAAAGCAGAAAATGTTTAAGTCAGCATGCTGCTTGGCGATCAACTCACCACCCGTAACAATTAAAAGCATCGAATGTGCCATCATTGATTACGCTTTTCTACAAGGCTGGATGCAACCGCAAAAACCAAATTATAGTACCGGCAAACGTATTGCAATTATTGGAAGTGGTCCAGCTGGTAATCTATTTTAATAATCATTCTGACCATACTCAGAATTGTCAACTTTAACCTTAACGCTAGTTTTAACATTGCTTAGATGAAATCAAATAATGGTAGTTCTCATTGCCAGGTAGTTTAGCAGTAGGATGTGTAATTAAATTAACGAAGAATAAAAAGATTGAAAAATTATTCTCAGGGATGGCAGCTGCAGCACAGCTGAATAAAGTGGGGCATGCAGTTGTCGTATACGAGAAGAAGAATCATGCAGGTGGCTTGTTAAGGTTAGGTCTAAAACTTGCTAATAAGTTGGCAGATAACAAAGTATTGACTATGGCATCCAGGATGAACCATCGTCAACTAACTTGAAAGTTAATGACCTCTGGTCAATGGCTGCAAGTAGTACTGTTGTAGAATATATATATATATATATCAATTTGTAGTCATATACAGTTCTGTCCTGCTCTCCAATTCACAACGGTCTGATTATTGTCAGTATAATTGCATATATAATATGGTTGCTTTATTATTAGTATAATTGAAGATACGGTATACCAACAATGAAATTGGACAAGTATGTTGTTGATAGAAGAGTCAAATTACTGGAAGATGAAGGTGTTCGATTTATAACAAATACTGAAATCGGTAAAGACGTTTCAGCAGACTTCTTACTTAAGGTTATTTTTCCACTTCTTTGGACTAAGCCTATATTCATGTCGATATTTATGAGTAAAAGTAAATGATATATCATTTTCTTTCATCTCATTTTTGCAACCTGTGTTGCGGAGTTTCCGCAATTTCCAATATTCTTCCATTTCAAAAATTCGGTAGAAAATGACAAAAGCTAATTGTAATAAATAATGATTTTTGCATATTTGCAATACTTTCTTTTACCGTATAAAAATTTTTAGGACAATGATGCAATACTAATTTGTACGGGTTCAACGATACCGCGTGATTTGTTGATCTTAAATCGTGATGCGAAAGGAATTTGTTTTGCAATGGATTTTTTAGAGAAAAGCCAAAGAATTATAGCTGGTGAAGAAGATGCCTGGGAAGGTCTGGATGCTAAAGGGAAACGAATTATCATCCTTGGAGGTGGTGATACTGCTACCGATTGTATCGCAACCTGTACAAGATTGGTCTGCTTTCATATTATTCGAAATGTAGTAATTTAATATTCCAATGTTTTTCTTAATCTATTCTTACTATAAAAAATCGTTCATAACAGATTTCGTTATAAATAGGGAGCGGAAAGTGTGCAAGCATTGGAAATAATGTCGCAACCCCCGGATGAACGATATCCAGATAATCCATGGCCTCAGTGGCCGATAATATTTCGTACTGATTATGGACATGAAGAGCGTAAGGAAATCACGGGTGATGATCCACGTCTATTTGGTTTATCAACAAAGGTTTCTTCCCTATGTATTTTGCTATCGCTGAAGTTAATGAGTAAAAGTGCATTTTATTTACAAGTTTTATAAAATATGGAAAAAAGTAAAAATTTTTGAAATATGAATTTAACAAAAGTTTTCCACTTTGCAGAAATTTCTGGTTAATGTAAGTGGTTCCGGACAAAAAAATTTAATTGGTCTCTTAACGATTCGTGTTGATTGGAAAAGAGATGAAAACGGGGCTTGGATAATGTCTGAGATTGATGGTAGCGAAAAAGAATTGCCATGTGATTTATGCATACTTGCTATGGGATTCACAGGTCCAGAAAAGGTAATAAACTCTTCTTTTCTAAAAAGTTTAATTCATTTCTGAATAATTTTCAGACTTCTATTTATTGATTCAAAAATATTTCTAGGTTTTGTTGGACATTTATACCTGTATTACATAGTTGTTCCATTTGATTTGCGAACTTAAACATTTCAGATTGTTGTCGAGCAACTTGGAATAGAAACGGATAAGCGATCGAATATTTTCACCGCAAAAGATCGATATAGCACATCAAAATGTAAGATTTATGCCGCTGGTGACTGCCGGCGAGGCCAGTCTTTAGTAGTTTGGGCGATTCATGAAGGACGTCAAGCAGCCAGACAGGTAAATTCTGAATTCATTTATTATTTTTCAATTTTCTGATTATTACAGTTTAATTTAATCATCATTATATTAAAAAAAAAGTGCTGAAAATTTTCATCTGAAGTAATATTTAGATTGATCATGATTTGATGGGCAAAACAACTCTTGCTGGACCGGGTGGCGTTGTGCTTGCTCCAATTCAAAATTAATTCATATGAAATTAATAATTTCTTATTTGATGAGCAGGATTAGTGAATTGTCTTTCGTTTTTCAAATTTAATTTATTGACTAGTTTTAGTACTTTTAGCATTAAAGTTTGCTAATATTTAATTCATCTTGTTTCGTATAACTAGTCGTTGGCTATTTTGCTGTTATATATTTTCTAAAGAACCTGAATACCTTTGTCTGACTTTTCATTTCAGTCCGAGAAATTATTTCCTTTAATTCAGACCAAGCGACTCTAATTTTTTCAAAGTGTTCTTCTCTTTTTTCTTTTTTTCCAATTTTGCTTCAGTTACAAAACGATTGAGCCATTCTTTTTCCTTCTTTTTTGTATTAAAATTGTGACTTTAATTTTTCTTTGTTTCCATGATATTTTATTTCTAAAATCAATGCCAGGTTATTATTATTTTGCATGCCAAATTTCATACTTGTTGACTGATTTCGTACATCGAAGTGATTCCATATTGTAATGCTGCAGCTGATTGCAAAAGGTAAAGTATTTTTCATCATAAAATTTGTCCATCATAATTTGTTGTACATTTAGCTTTCATAATTCGTTGTACATTTAGCTTCATTATATCTAAAAATAAAAAAATAAACTATTTTGTCCATATTACAGTTTTTATCTATTTATTATTTGCGTAATGTATGTATAATAAATGAACAAAATAAAATGTTTAAATAAATGAATTTAAAAAAGAAAAAATAAAATAAATAAATGACGAAATAACTGTATTAACAAATAAACAAATGAATTATTAAATTTAATAAATAAATGAAATCAATTACGGAATAAGTAAATAAATTAGTTAACTAAAGAAGTAAATGAATAAAAAATAGATGGACAAGTAAGAAAAGCATATTAAATGAATAAAGTAGAGTAAGGAATGAACAAACGAAACAAATGAATAAAGGGAAAAAAAGATAAAATGAGCACGCAAACAAAACAAATAAATAAAAGACAAACAAATCAAGCAAAGAAACATATGGACGAATAAATAAAAAAATCAAGTAAATCAATAAATATAAATAAATAAACGAGGAAATAATATAGCGGATGAACGAATAGACAAATAAATGGATGATATTAAGAATAAAGAAATAAAATAAATTAATTGAAAATAATGCGTAAATAGATAAATAACTAATTATGCAAATGAATTAAAAAATATAAACGGATCAATAGGTAAACAAGTGAGTGAATGAATAAATAAAGTAAAAAAATAAGTAATTAGAGAAATAAATAAATAAGTAAATATTAAATTGGTAAATAAATAAATATTAAATAAGTGGATGAAATATATGAACATACAAATAATCTAAAATAAATGAATAAAATAAGTAAATAGAAAACAGAAATACAAGCAAAATAAACAAATAAAATTGAGTAAATTAAATCGATAAATAAATAAATAAGTAAATAAATATACACAGACAAATAAGTGAACGAATAAATATGCCAAGTAAATAGATAAATGGATTAAAAAAATAAAATAAATATGAAAATGAATGAATCAGTAATTTAATTATTTTATTAACTAAATAAATGAATAAATATTAGAGTGAGTAAAGAAATAAATATAAAATAAATAAAATAAAATAGATGACAACAAGCAAGCGAGTAATAAAATAAATAAATAAACGAATAAAATAAGTGTGATAATGTAAATAAACATATAAAGCAAGTAAATAAATAAATTAATTAATAATTGAAAAACAAAATAAATATTCAAATAAAATAAAAAAAGTTATATAAAACCGGTAAACTAGGTTATTAAATAAAACAAATAAATAAGCAATAGAGTGAACGAATAAATAAATAACTGAAATAATTAATAAAATAGATCAATAAATAAACGGCTGAATAAAAAAGTAGGCAAATAAGAAAGTGAATTAAATAAGTATTTTAATAATTAAACTAAGATTAATAAAGAAAGAAGAACAAGCAATGTATAAGCAGATCAATAAATGAATGAATAAACTAAGGAACGTATTACAAAAACAAATAAAATAATTTAATAAGTAAATAAGTAAGTGAATGAATTCATTAATTAATAAATGATTTAAATGAATTAAAAACAGGTAAATAAAAATAATTTAAATAAAAAATGCAAAAGGAAAAAAAGTAGGTATGTGAAAAAAAAAAAAGTTTGTGAATGAATAACAAACAAGTGAATTAATAAATAAACAAACAAAAAAGATGAACAAAGAAATAAATTTATAATTAAATAAATAAGCAAATAAATAAAAAAAAAAAAAAAAAAAAAAAAACAAATAAATCAGTAGATGGACAAATGATAAACAAATATGCAAAATTAAATAAATAAGTCAATAAATAAATAGATAGATAAATAAATAAAGTAAAAAATGAAACAAATTGAATACATAAACACATAAATAATAAAAAAACAAATAAAGTATTTAATATTAGTAAATAAATAAATAAATTCTTGTTATTAAATTGTTTGCTTAAACTATAACATGCGATACTTTCGAGATATCGTGTACAATAACGTAAATATTTGCTGTAAATCCAGCAATGTTTTGTTTATTCGCGGCACTATATGATAATTTTTGAAATGATAATAGTTAATTTATAATTTGCATAAGATATATAAATGTTGAATATTAGTTATAGGTTAACTGTTCTCGAAATAGAATACTTTTACTTGAATTAATATCTGAATAACTCTATTCAGAACTTGAAATGTTCAGTTTTTTTTTCTTTCACTTAAAAGGAAATTACCGATCAATCTGTTGTGCGTGAATTCTGATAATTATGAAGAAAATCTATAGCTAATTTTATGCTAATCATATGTCTATCATATATTAGATGTGCAAATTTCATTAATTAATAAGCAATTACTAAGTAAAGTACTTCTTTTTCTATGCCTATTCTTTAATATGGAAATAAATATGGTAACAAGGAAATGTTTAAGTTAGTGCACAAATTCAAATTTCCGCGAACGCATAATATATGTGAAAAAGTTTCACAACGATTTTCTGGATGCAGTCTCTAATTTGTACTTCGTATTGGTTGATGATAATTTTCTGTATGGTACATTGATTTTTACAGGTCGATTCTTAAACGTAAGGGTGACACGTAGTTTATTTGACGTAAAGTTAGCCATAATGCAAATAGCAAGAGTTATTGCAAGACTTGATGTTTTATTTTATATTAATCTGCTTTCCTGATAAATGTATCATTTATTAATGCAATATGAAAAAAAAAAAAAAAAAAAAAAACAGAAGAAAAAAGAAGCACCCCTATTTCTCTAGGATATATATTAAAGAGTAATGAGACATAAAATGAAGTTGACCTTCTCATTTAAGTCATTTTTCATCAAGCAGATAATCTTATTGCACTTTTGTAACTTCCATTTCATCCTATTTATTAATTATACGTAATTTGACGTTTTTGATTCTGTAAATGGCCTTGTGAGAGAAACAAATGAATGAGTTGGATTTTTGCATGTTTAGAATTAGACATACAGGAATCTGTGATGTGATTTAAATTTAAATTACTATTACATATTTGATGTTTAATTTTTTTTGAATTCGGAAGTATTTTTAACATTGGTTGCACTCACATCGTCGTGTGGTTGTTTTTCTCTTGTAAAGTTCGTTTAAGTTATTCGCAAAATATGCATCTTTCGTTAAAATAATTTGAAATTGGTGTGCATCAGCAAGGATACTGCAGAGATTGATTTAGATTGCAAAGCACAATACAATAGAAGTTACTGTATTTTCTATGTATTACTATTAGAGATATTTGATGTTTAATTTTTTGGTTTTCCTTTACATACTTCAATGAGAGTAGTAATTTGGGTGCAGTATTTATGATTTAACTGCCGTTTCATTGCCTTATCATTTGTAAGTCTTTGAAACCACTATTTCTAACGTTCCCTTCATGATTGTGATAATCATCGTCACTTTTTGTTACGTTTCAGTATACTGTCAATACTAACTCGGGGACAGTATTCCAAAATATTGAAAGTTCTTTCTTTTTTTTTTTTTTTAATTTAACAGAAATTCTCAAGAAGATTTGTGCCCCAATGTAATATAATGGATGAGAGATTGCGATTATTCGTTAGAAAAGAGTTGCAACGCAATTATATACTTAGAATTGTACTTCGATTCGGTGTATTTACTTCGTTTTGCTTGAGAAGTTATTTGTTTCTTCAGATAATTTCTTTCATTTCCGAAAGATATTTAATGATTTAGATACAGCAGGATTCAATCTCATACTATATACGGTATGGATCGTTTGAAAAAATTTCTCACTGAAAAGAAAGTTAACAAAAACTTCAAAAAAGCTGGAGCTGGTTATCGTCTTACCGACGATAGTTCATCGGCTGTTACAACGCAACCAGTTACTGCTCAGCAGCAAACAGTAAGTTCTTTTTTACTTTTCAACTTTTAATATTTTTTTTTTTTATTGTGCCCCAGTTACTGTTTGTTTGGGGATTGTAATGTTTTCATTTCTTTATATTTGGGAGAGAAAGGAAAAGTTAGATTTTATTTTTATCCGAAAATTTGAAAAAAAAGAAGAGATCAGTTATAGATGCTATTTTTCCTTCTAACTTGCTACTTCCGCTTATTTCTTTCTATTTTCGTTTTAATGTTTTTCACAGTCACAAATGGTACCAGCGGAGCGTATAGCCACAGCTGATATTGCAGCACAGGCAGCTTATAAAAGAATGAACTTAGGTGCAACCCAAGAATCGTTAACACAAAGGAATATACGCATGCGGGTTAGGTTTTTTAGTGAGTCGGTTTTTAATAAAACTGCAGAACTGTCAGTGGTCTTTCTGACTGAAATCTGAATTTGCAGTACATTTTGTTGGTTTTGCAATTTACAAGACAGTTTAATATGTATTTTAAGATTATAGACAGTGGTTTTGTGTCCTCTATTGCAGTATCGACATCAATTCAAATGTTATAGACATAATCGGAATATATTCCTATAGGCAACTGTAGTTGCATTCTTTGCGTTAATTGGCGAAAATAATTTTATGTTCAGGCCCTTAAAGAAATGGAGAAGGAAAAGAAGGAACGTGAAGGATGTGCTAATGATAAAATGGATGTTGAAATAAGGACTCATGTAATTGATGAGCGTGAATTTGAACACTCTGCTGCTGTCAGTGGCGTTTATTTTACTTGTGACCTTCTTGGAGACGACCTGCAGTTAACGAAAAATGAAGTTAGCCTTTTTTCAATTATCAAAATATTTACAGTTCGAATTTTCTGTACAATTGCTATGGGAGCATCTATTTTGAGTTGGAAACGATGAACGTATCAAACTAATTAATACTCATCGGAATATCCGAATAAATTATTTAGCACATTTCTGAAATATTTATTACAAATTGGGTTAAGATCATTTCAGATGCGGAAAAAAGTGGAGATTTTTTTGCGAACGCAGTTAGCTGATGATCCACTAGTTGCATCAACGTTAATGATTTTCTCTTTAAATGGTCCCGACAAAAGGCAGAATGCTTCAGAAACAATTCAGAAATATCTCAAGAATCTTATCGAATCTCCAGATGAAAGCAAATATCATCGTATACGAATAAACAATAAGATTTTCCAAGTAATTTATTATTTTCCAAATAAGATTATTTAATTAATAATGTTTTCAGTTACGAATTTAGTGTTTGAATTTATCTCAGTTATGGCTTAATTATATAGAATATGCAGTTATAGCTAAATTATATAGAATTGTTTCTTTTTTTAGAAAAATGAAAAACAGCGAAACTCTAGAGAGAATTTAACTAATTACTCTCTTTGCTCATTCGAAATAGTATTCCGTAATGTTTTTTTAGGAGCGGGTTTCTTGTGCTAACGGTGGAAAAGAATTTTTGATGGCTTGTGGTTTTGAAGAAAAAGATCTCATTAATAATGATCAGCAAGAGCCTTTCTTAGTAATACCGGACAATAAAGCAATGGATACATATTCGTTGATACAAGCTTTAGAAATTTTGCAAACTGGTCAAGCTGTCCCCTTGAAACTGTCTCGCAATGCTGCTGTAAGTATTTATATAGCTCTGTGGATCCAGTATTTATCAGTTAGTGATTCTTGTTAGATTTAACACTTATAATTTTCACTTATAAGGTCTTATGTTTTATGATGAACTTCTAGTATAAAAGGGGACGTCTAATTTAAATATTTCTAACAGGTATATAAACTTGAAGCAAATCAAGTCATAACAAATCCACAGTTGCCTCGTGACTTCTTTGATTTAGACTTCGCTGAGATTAAACGGGAACAACAACGTAGAGAAGTTGACGTTGAGAAGGTAAATTTTTTATATTTTATATAAAATTTTGTCGCAAATTCGTGTTTAACCAGCTTAATGTGTGCTAATGTCTTAAAGTTGTAATGGTGTGTAAAATCATCTGTTGGAGATTATAAGTGTTATATTATATCAAAGTAAAGATCACGCTACACAGTCACTGTACATTTAATTTGGTATCTGCAGTTTAACCGACCACATTATCCAATTTCTTCTTTCAGTTTGCGACATTAAGAACTCGGGAAATGCGTGAAAAGGACGAATTGATGCGTAGCTATCGATACAACTATACCTTGATTAGGATTAGGTTCCCAAATCGTTTTCTCTTGCAGGTTTATTTAAATTCTGTAATTTTATTCAGTTGTTTATGAGTTGACATTATACGACTTCAGTCCCCATGGGGAACGTTATAGGTGGACATAGTTTTTGGAAAATATTTAATTTGTAAATTGGACATAGTTTTTGAAAAAAAATTTAATTTTTAAATTAACACAGGCTTACTTATCTCGTTTGTTGCAGTGCAAAATTGAAAATATACAAATGTTATGCATAATTACCTTGCACAGCAGATAAACGTCTGTTTTTTTGAGCAGTGTGTTTCAGAATTAGCTTTTCTTGAATGCTGTTTTTCATTTAAACAATCGTGTTTTATTAAGTCATTTAACTTTTACTTTGTTTTGTGATTTTTTACTAATTTCAGGGTACATTTGGATGCCATGAACCTTTTTCTGCTGTACACAATTTCGTTGAGGAACATTTGGCACCAATTGAACCAATGTTATTTGTTTTGAAAGATCCGGTATCTGGAAAAGTAATCAGTGATGATACGAAGACTCTGAACGAGTTGAATCTCCTTCCAGCTGCTGTTTTACACTTTGAGTGGGATTTCGATATTCAAGTTGAATTAATGAAGCTTGGACGAGAGGTATTTTGACTCGTGATGTTGTTTTTGATATTGTTAATACAACGGCATTCTTTTTTTTTTTTTCATTCTTTTTCACTACTTTAGTCAGTTCTATGGAACTGTTTTTAATTATAGCAAATTATCCTTACTTTTCTCAGTCAGTTCTCTTCTGAGTCTCCTAATATATCTCATTAGTTCAGTCAATTCTATGAAATTCTTTTTAATTTTCAGTCAAATATTTTTTAACGGAGATGGAAGGATAGTTCGTATTAAAAATTGAGAGTCCCTTACATACCCATTGAAAGTAATGAGAGGATATACTAAGCAGTAATATTTTACTATCAAAATTATAAATTTCACTTTCATCGAGTCACCCTGCTTTATTTAGGTTCATTATCTGGATCAGCGTTTTATCGAAACTGCAGAACCATTTGCTGTGATATAGAACTTGCATGGTTTCACTGTTTTTACCATTCAGTATGCTCATCTTGTGTTGTGCTATAAAAATTATGTTAATCCATTAAAACTTTGAAATTATGCAGAAAAAAAAAAAATATTTTCAACATTAACTTTTTCTATTTACCAAATACTGAATTGAAATTTCACAGGAATGCTTTAGTAAGGCATAACTGAAAGACTAACAGTTAATAGTTGATGTAAAATGATTTGAATTTTATTATTAAGAAAGTACGTGCATGTTAGCGATAGTTCATACTATTACAAATTGCTGTGTTACATAACGTTACATAACTGCATTGTGATAATATTTATCCACTGTTTGTCTTATTTTTAATTAATTGAACTGTAAATAAAATTTCTTTTACTTACTGCTTGTTCTGTAGTTATGAAATGATGTACTGAAAATGCAGAAATCATAGGTTGAGGCATGAGAGATTTTCTGGTTGTTTAGTTTATTGGATTTGTTGTTCTGAGATGAACAAATTATTAATGCTGATAGTTCCATATATATATATATATATATATGGTAACTGAAACGATTTGATTTTTGCGTACTTTAAGCAAAAATCTTGAAGGTCGGACTTCAAATGTCTTGCGGGTGGAAGGGTTAAGATGCATAACTCATTTGTGAATTTTTATTTTTCTAACATTAAATTTCTTTCCTTGCAAATAACCAAGAAAAAGGAAGTCATTAAAATAAATACCATGAGAGAATATGGCTTAAATCCGCTTATGTTAGCTATCATCAAGTGATGTGTTATAGTAAAATATATAACAAGCTTAAGTCATTTCAGAACCTTATTTTTGGCGTATTATTTCCTCTTTAAGCACTAGTACTACTTTTCTTTTTTACAAAATCAAAATGCATATCTCACCAAGCTTGTTACTTCATCTTTTTTTTTACCCTGAATAATAAAATATAATAATTCATTGGAAAGGAAATAATGTTAAATATTGAAAATTATAACTAAAAATGAACAAAAATATGAGACAAGTAAACGATAATGCAATAAAAGTTTTAGCTGCTTAAATTTGGTTGAAAAGATTTCGAGACAATAAATCCTAGCTGTGCTTGTTTTGATTAATGAAAAAGCACTTCGCTAAGTTTTTCCAAAAAAAGAAAAATTTGTTTTTCTTCATGCCTTCAGAAAGAATGAATTTTTAAGCAGAAATAAATATATTTCCGGAAGCCAAGTATTTGCATCTATTTTTTCGTTTTTTTTTTCTTGCACTGAGAAAAAGTATCTATTTTTGTGTGAATTTTTGTTTGTCCTTCTTCCATTACTCCCATTTAACATTATTAAGCTCTTTAATCCATTTTTATTGCAAAGACAAGAATTACATATATTTTTGGCTTTTATACCTTTTATTTTAATTTTTTTCCTCCCTTCGTTCCTTCTTCCTGTCAAAAATTTGCATCATTTAAGCCTTTAAGATAATTAAAATTATGAATTACGAATTATTTCTATCCAATATTTTATATCATTTTTTTCTGCGATATCCTCACTATCATTGATTCGTTGAATCATTGCATCTTTGAAGGCTTTTTTTTATTAAATAAGTGTGGTTTTTATCATGTCACATTTAGATGAAGTAAGAAAACAATAATGAATCTTTTTCAATCATGATTCAACGCTTTACCAAGTTTGTTTGTTTGTTTGTTTGTTTTTTTTTTTTTTTTTTTTTTTTTGATGCTAAATGTCGAGATCATAAATTAGCAGCTGACAAATGATGCTTATAATATTAGTGATTATCCTGCCTTTCCTCAACAGCTTTCCTCAATTATAGATGGAGATAATCTTGTTTATTATGTCTTGATACCTTATTCTTTTCTGTTTTTTTAGGATAGAGCAAGAAGGGTTGTTTTAATATGTATATTTTAATCAGTTAAAAAATTTCAACCTTTATCAAATTTAATCGCATCCTCTAGCAATTAAAGCTTTGGATTGAGGGAATGCTATCATAATTATTTGGTGGCCTATTACGATGATTTATCTCTTCAAAATTAACTATTGAAACTTTGTTTCTCTCTTCTATTTTTCAATATAGGAAAAAAGCAAAAGCCAAAACTAATATATTGAAATATATGGAGTGAGATTTATCTCTTTTCGAAAATAGCAATTAAAAATTTCTCTTACTCCTTCTCTCTTGCTCTTCTCTTCACTCAATATGTGTTACTAATTAAAATATTATTGTCTTGCTCGAGCATCTAATCATTGCAAAATCAATCTGCATTGAATTATGCAGACAACAAAAAAAAAAAAAAAAAAATAGCAAATTTCATCACAAAGTCTTCTCATTAAATTATCTTCTTCCTAATTGCAGCATAATTAAATTTTTTCATCTTGAAATAGTGATTAGCAGATTTTGGAGTAGTTTTAAAAAATTGATCATACTAAAAGAGAGGGAATTAAATGTTTCCTGATTCCTTCATTGAAATTTATCACTTTTGTCACTTTTGCTTATTTTCAGGATGTTTTTTTCGATGTTTTTCATTACACTGTTTATTATCAATGATCAATTATCATCAGTTGAAAGTGTCAATAAGGTAGTTTCTTAGGGCTCTTTTCTTTCATTAGATGATTTATTGCATGCTGAAAATTTAATTTAATCATTGAGCTCAAATGAGTTCCAACTATTAGTGTATTTAATCATGCATGCAAAATGCGAATTGTGGAATTATAGTAAGCAAAAATGTGGCAAATTAATTTATATCAATGCAATATACCATTGCAAATCAAAAACATCAAAAGCACACGAATGAATGTAATCAATTTTAAGACTGCAACTGCTCAAACTTTGAAAAAATGACAAAAAAATGGAAATTTAACAAGAATTATATCAGATTGAGCTTCTAAATTTTACTTGTTATAAGTGTCTTGCATTAAAATTGAAAATTAGCTTTGAGTATTGAAATAAACTTTCAGAATGGTCATCATATGATGGTAAAAAGACTTCAGTCTCTGGCACTTTTACGTGGAAATCGATTCTATGGAGATAAAAATTTGAAAAATTATCATGAAAACAAAGGAAAAGGAGGAGAATATTGGTTTAATAAATCACCGTGGAATACGTTGAATAATGGGAAATATTATATTCCATATTGTTTGATGTATGAGTAGAATGTGTGAAGTTTGAATATTATCAGGATCGATTTGTAGGAACTAGTTATTTAATTCATGAGCGTTAGCTCATAAATGTCAAAATCTGAAATACAAACAAAAAAAACAAATGAAATTACTTAGATTTTTAATTCCTTTTTTTTTTCTCATTATCTTTTCACTATGATCAATATTTCATATGACAAAACATATCTTCGCCATTTTTGTAAACATTTTATATTCATTCGATTATTGAATATCAAATTTATAAGAGAATAATATTTTTAATTTGATTATTTGATATTTTTACATAACTCATTAGCCATATAATATATTTTCCCCTAAACTTTGTTCTCATTCTTTGTTTTTTTTCCGCAACAAACAAACATTTATTTTTATATAATACAATTTGTATTTTATCATTTTATTCCCTTTTGTTTTCGTCTCTCTGTCATTTCTCCCCCTATTCGAAAAAAGGAATTAAATATTGTAATGTGAAATAATTTTTCAATTGATCATTCGATATTTTATTTTTCTATTTTTTTGAAAATAATCAAAAAATTTCTTGCAAATTGGTCACACATCCCATTCGCTTACGTTTGATCTGCAATTTTTTGTTTAAATAATCGGCGAAATTTAACATGCGATTATGTTTCATATTTTCTTTTTCGTTTTTTTTTTTTCTGTTTTTTGATTGTTAATAGTCGTTCATTTCCGAAAGTTTTTCTCACAGTCTGTGAATTAACGCTAAATTGGACAAAATGGAAAAGGAAAAAAAAAATATCCTTCTGATTTAGCATTGTATCGCAAGTTGAGCAAGCATAACACTTTAGACATCAACATTTACCAAATACTTTTAAATTGCTTCCCATTAGTATCGTATTGCATTTGAAACAAACATCTGCAAAACACTAAAAATTAGCTTGGACAAATTGAAAATATTATCCTTAGAGCAATAGCTGCAGTAATTATTTCTAATTAATAGAGAATTTTGTATTCGTGAAGTCTTCGAAAGTGATTTCAAAACGACAATGATTTTTTGAAATATAAATTGTCATAATCAGTTTTTCTAATAGTTACATTCATCATCATATATTTGATGTTATTGGTAAAATTAGCTAACATTAAAAAAAGGATTCCTTAGAATGTGAGAAAAAATGCACAATAGTTTAAAATAATTTTTAAATAAGATTGATTAACCTTTACATAACAACTATTGCAATAAGCTCGACCACTTCTCTCAGTTGATTTACTACCATAAAAAGGTTTCTTACATTTAGCATATAAAAAGTGTTTTTAAAAAAAGTTACGGAAAAAAAGTGTTAATATTGAATTAATCGTTAAAATTATCAAATGTAATAATATCAGAAGGTATATTTATTTGATGGAGGAATGTAATTCGTTAAGTTATTTAATTTATTGCATTTTTCTTTTATAAATTACTTTTAGTCAGTTTTTTTCTTTCTTTCGACAAAATAAAATATATAGCTAAAAATTTTAAATGAAAGAGGAAACATATCCTTACAACATCAACATACCAGTATTTCTTAAAAGCAAAAATACTCTTTTCATTGTCAATTGGGCGATGACATGGAAGACGTATTGATAATCATTAACACTGCTAACAGTAAAATTTATTCTTTAAAGAGCAAGCATTTTCATCCAATTCTGTTTTATTAATTACATTAATTATTGTTTGATCCAATCTTTTGTAAAACTTCTCATTACATAACTAGTTTTGATTACAAAATTAATGAATAATTTCATATTATTAATAACAATCAAATATTTTTTACAGCTGTTAATAATTATAATAGTACAGTTGCAGTATGCTAATATTATATTAAGTAAAGAAACAATTTAAAAAAGCAAGAGATTCGAAATAGTTAATTGTTACCGACAATTTGCACAGCAGAAGTGATAGGAATGATGGATGTTATCATGATATTGTATCGCTGTACGATGTTTGATACTTGCATTATTTTAAAACATTTTCTCACGAAATTGAAATTCTATTAAACTTGCAAATAAATGGGAAGAAATTTTCGAAAGAAAAGCAAATTATAAAATGATCCAATTTAACGTAAATATTTTCGGGAAAGTTTTTTGCTAATAAAATATTTCCAAAAATTTTTTCTGTATTTATTTCAAAATTAATTTTAAATGTACATTTAGAAAATTAGAGAATAAATGAGACTTACCACGAATTCCCGTACCAAATACTAGCATTTACCAACTACTTCCCACACTGATCACATTTAAGCTGCACAGATAACTCTTCCAGAGACAAATTCGCCTCAATACTGTGATTTAAAATATGAAACGATATCATAGTACATTATTGCCTTATCAGTCTTTTATTATCTTTAGTCCAGAATCATTGAAAATATGAATGATACCGTAAAATAAAATATCTAGTATTATTGGCAATCTAATCTTATCTATAATTAACATTACTAAACAAAATGTTAAAATTTTTTCCGGGAAAGAATTTTTCAATTTTTTCCCAATAGTAATTCTTCAAATTTTGGTATCTTTTGCAAAACTCTAATAGCCTTATTGCAATTAAGAATTCATAAATTAATGAATTTATTGTGTTATATCATGTGCGTTTCTTCATAAGTGCATCAAGAAATGATATCAAAATTCATAAATATAAATAAATTCTACAAAACATCTGCTATGTATTACTAAATGTTATTTACAGCTAAACAAAGACAAGGTAATTTTTTTTTTTTTTTATAATCAATTTTATGAAAATTTTTTGTTTTATTTTTTTTTTCTTTTTTCAGCAAAAATTATTATTTTACAAAAATTTAGCATATAGTCCTCGTGTTAGGCTAACACCATTGATTAGTGGTGGGGGACAGGAAAGGAGTATGCGTTCTGGAACAGTTCAACTATTGCAGAAATGGAACGCATTCCTACTGATGCTGGATCAATGTTTGCAAAATATTAGCTACATAATAGAAAACAAGTAAACTGAAGCCAGTTATCTTCATTTTAGCCTATGGATTTCATTTCTAAGTTACTCATTCGTAAGTGCAATGAGCAAAACGTATATCACATATCACGCAAAATTAGTGCGTAAAGCTAAAATCGTATTCACAATAGTGTCATCTATTAATGATGTAATGTATTTTGTTATGCGAAAGACAAAAGCATTGTGCACATCTAAAAAAAAAAAAATAAATAAAAGAAAAATTATTGATCCATATGGCATTTTTTGAAATTTTAATGTGCCACAATTTGCAATTTTGTTAATAGTTGCAAAGCTTGAAATTATTTTTGAAATTATAACTTATTGCCTCAATATTGCTGGAAGAAATTTCGTCAGATTACCTCTTTCATAAATTATTTCCAGTAGCTACGAAATGAATAACATTTAAACTTTTATTGTTTGAAAACCGAAAAAAAAAATGGAAAAATAAGAAGAAAAAGTAAAAATAAAAAAATAAAGAAAATAAATAAAAATGAGACAAAACAAAAAATGAAGTCACTTCTTTCATACTCATTCCAAATTTTCACCTTCTGAAGCTTTTTGCTTTATTTTCAAAAATTAATTATCTTCCTATAAATCATTAAAAACGTTACTTTCATATTTACAGAAAAAAAAATTAATTGTTATTGAAAATAAACCTGAAGCATTTACAAATATTTCACAGTCATCAAAGGATAAATTGCATCTACAGCATTTAGCTCATAACAACATTTATCGAATTTTCAAACTACAATACTTTGCTTTCATTCGAATTAGTTTCAATCAATTATAATTGTCATAATTTGTGAGACGCATTGGACATAATTTATGCGAAAGTTCAGAGTCAAAGTTTATTAACATAAATTATAACCTGGCATATGACTTTGATGGTGTAGGAAAACTTTCTTTTGGCATAATGGAATTAGTATTTGAAATCATCAAATCTGAAATGGCCTTTTGCAGCATTTTATATTTTTCTGAAAAATTACAATTAAACACCCACAACGTTCCAATGTTAATATTTGACAGCAAATTTATCATTCTCTATTCTTTTCTAATTATCACGTCATTTGATGTTTTTTTTTTTTTTTTTTTTTTTTTTTTTTAAGAAAAAAGAAAAGAGGGTTTTTAAAATTTTTATATTGAAATCAAATTTGTCAGTGCAATAAATGAAATTCATTTCTGGGCTAAGTGAAAGAGGGAATAAAAAAAATTTGTATTATTTCATTTCAGAAGAATATTTGAACAAAAGGATGAAGAAAAGGAAGAAAAAAAATTTTTGCACCAATTGATGATATGAATAAATGAAAAATGAATCGCGAATAATCATCAATTTTGATTGCATATTTCTCCTTATCACTTATTCACTGATTGCAGGCTGTATTGCAAACTGCATGCTGTATTATTATATTTTGATTTTTTTCCCATTTTTCTTTTTGCATGCAATTTATCTACTTTCTTGCGTTCATCCTTTCAAGTATTTTTGTGCAAAATTGACATCAGTATTGCTCGCATCATCTATACCAATCAAAAGTTAAAAAAAAAAGGAAACAAAATGGAAAACGATAAAGTCAGAAACATTGATTCTAAAACGATGTTTACTAAATAAATGAAAAAGGAAAAAAAAAAAAAAAAAAAGAAGAAAAAATGGCTCCATGAAAATGTTTAGCCATTTTAATCCATTAAAAATTGGCCAAAAAAAGTTCCATTCAATAAGATGGATCTTTTTCAATTATACTGCACTTTAGCAACTACGAAAAGAATAAGAAAGAAAGGGTTTTTAAAAAAATGAAAATGAAAATAGCAGGAAGGATATAAAGACACAAACTGGAAATGAACAATAAACTAGAATAAAGACGAAAAATAATTTCAAGCTTCCAACATCATTTTACAATTATAGTAATTAGCATCATTCATACTGTGTCATCTTTGAAAAAATAATAAGCCAAAAATTTACTGCAATGAAATATTTATCTGATAAACTGAAGAAACAAAACAAAACAAAACAAAACAAAAAAAAAAAAAATCAGAAATCTCACATAATCACTTGAAATTTCAAACAGTAATTCATTAAAAATACAAAGAGAGCGATTGAAATTTGACGGACATTTCAATAATTAAATTATATTAAATTCTAAAAAATTGTGATTAACAGGTAAAAATAATTAGTGCCGTTTTACACTAAGATCTTATAAACAAATAATAGTATTCAAAATTTCAACCAATTCTTAATTTTGCCTTTTTTCCTACTTTGGGAGTTTTTTTTTTGCTTCTTTATTTAAAAAAAAATAATAAAAGCAAAAATTATCAAATAAAAACTAATAAAAGTGAATGAAAATAATTTCAAGTGCAAATTTCATAAAAACTTTTATATTCCTTTCACTATTGAAACTGCAAAATTTGATACAAATATGAACAATTCAACAATTGTTAATGATAGTTATATTATTTAAAATCTTCGTTGTCTTAGCAACGCGAAATACAATATGAGCATTTTTCTTTTTCACTTTTCATTTATGGCACATTTGTAAAAAAAAAGAGCGAAAAAAAAAAAAAGAAAAGAAGATGAAATGATGCAAGAGTGATCCATGCTGTCCTTTCATTTACTTTGAAGTACATCGAGTGTCATCTTCTAGACAAGTTTGTGATCTCGAAAATGAACTAATGAATTGATTGGTACATGCGAATGAGGATTTTAATTGATAAATGGCTGAAAATGTTTATATTATTTGTCTAAGGCAAAAAAAAAAAAAAATTTTTTTTCTCATCCATGTTATCAACATTTGAATTATTTAATTATAATGTAGTAATTGAAATTATTTTATTCAATCTTCCCATTACAAATATAATTGTTAGAAAGTTAATTCTTTCAAAAGTAAATACAAAAATTTAGTGATGTAAGTGAAAAAAAAAAAGAGTAAATAAATGAAGTGAAATGAGAAGAAATTGTCTCTAACTTTTAAATTTCAAATCCATTAAATATTGTGTATTTGAAATTATAGAAAAGAGAATGAAGAAGAACAAAATGTCACAGTTATAAATGCTAACAATGATCATATTCTTTTTGGGTATGAAATTGTTTCCTTTGCGCTTGTAGCCAATTTTCGTAGCGTATTTCTGTGGATGGATTCCAATAAGTTGCAAATTGTTTTGTAAAATCATTTGATGCGATATCTGCAACAAACTTTCAAAAAATTAATTCTAAAGAATAAAAAATGTACTCATATGCTAAAATTCTTTCTCTTTTTTTTATTTATCATATAATTCTATTAAAATTGAAGCATAAATAACCATATCTTACCGTTTCCTAATTAACGACCATTTTGTTAACTGAAAATGATTGAATGTTATTTAAAATGATAAACATAAAAGATAAAGCGTATAATAATATATCATTTCCTTGATAAAATTTATTTCATTTTAACCGGATTCATTGATGATCCATTACATTTTATATTACATATTTAGGTTAATATATCACGACGTATAGTACTACATTGATTTGCTCTTACAAAAAAACACGGTTAAATTCTTGCTTGATTATCATAACTTAATAAGCTTTAACCAGATATTTCAGAGTTATTCATCATATTCGTTTTGATTTCACAATGCAACTTTTTTTTTTCATCTTACAAACGTAATATTTTAAAAAATATAAATGCTTCAAAAGGAACTTGTTATTTTCTAACAACTGAAAGAATATAAGTTAAAGCTATCTTAAAATTTGTAAAAATTCCATTTTTTATCTTTTTCACTTTTAATTTTAGCAAGAAAGGATGAAAATAGGAAATGAATATATCAAATGAAACTAAACATACTTGAATTAAATGTTGTGGAATGTGTTACAGTAAATCGTTGTTGTTGGTATAAACTTTTATCCGCTGATGAACCCATCAAATGCAACTAAAACTATAATGTAATTATTGAAAACCTTTCGTTATCCAAAAAAAAATATATTTCCATATGATTGGAAATTTCACCACTGTTTCATTCTATTTGTTGCAATAAAACATTTTGTAATTTCCATGAAAAGTTTTATAGAAATAAACAATATAACTTGAAATCAATACTCATATTTTCTTAACATTACTGAAGAAACAAAACATTTTCAAAAACAATAATAAACTTTAAAAAATTTAAGAATTCACTACAACGCATTAAATGATCCACTAATCTAAACTATCATTAACTATATTAATTTAATGGATGAGTTAATTTCATTAAACAGACTATACATTAAATGAACAAACAAAATTGTTTAATGGTCTCATTTTTTTCATGCAATAAAATGAACTTGGAGCAATAATACAACAAAAAAAAAATTCTATTAACTTATCTAATATTTATAAGAGATTGAAAACGGGAAGTTGAGACTTGTCATAAAACTTCCTGCATAAAAAGTGCATCATCTTTAAATTATTCTGACAAATGATTTAAATGATCTACGAAGTGCACACGCTGTAAAATATTTCAAAGTAAAATTTTTTTATATCAAAAATGAATGCATTTTTAATATTTTTAATATGTTTGAAAATTTTTATTAGAGTTTAATGAAAAATCTATCCTTTTCGTTTCTTTTTTCCTCCTTAATTTATTTTTTTTTTTCACCAAAAAATTTTGATATATTATATTGAGATATTAATAATATGCTGACTAAAATGATATTTTATTAACTGTAAGCAATTATAACTTTATTTAAAGTATCTTATCATATATTCATTTATAACATTTATAAAAAATATAGCAGGGTTAAAGTTCAGTGTTATCATTATTGTTACCATTTGAAATTTGAAGAAAAATATCATCAACAAATAAAATTAGTTAAGATACATCGGCAAGTTATATGAAAAAAATAAAACATGCTGAGAGTGCATGCTTATTTTTTTCTTTCTGGTCCAATATTTCTTTTTTTTTTTTTATAAAAAAAAAGGAAAAAAAAAAATTGTAAAAACAATCTGGACATTGTACTTTGATAGACGGACAAAGAGTTAGTAATTCCTTATCCATTAATGGCTTCCTCTCAATTTGTCATCCATATTCATTTTCCGCTCAAAAAGCAAGAAGTATTACTGCATTATGAGACTAATTTTGACATATTTTTTTTTTTTTTGATAAAAATCAAAGCAAATGAAAATAATCGTTGATGACATAATAATGGTAAATTATACTTGGAAGGAGGAAACCAAAAAATTCCGGAAAAAAAATCTAGAATATCTAAAATCATTGAGATTTAGGATTTACAAAAATTTGTATTGTATTTCACAATTTAATTTAAAGTTTTTCATATTTTTTTATCTCAACATAAATAACATTTACAAATACTCAAGCAATGTCTTTCATTCCATTGCTCTCTTTTTTTTTTTTAAGAGAAGAGAAAAAGACGAAAAAAGTAAGAGGGAATTTAATTGTACAGAGAAAAAGTCATTCAATTAAAACTGTGAGGCGAATGAAGCGAAAATCGCAATTATTGTAATTAGCTGTCTCCACAACGAAAAGATAAATAAATGCACAAAGTATAAAAATATGACCACACATCTAAACTATTCAAAAATTTTCAATTTACTTTTGAACACGCTTCACTGAATTGCACTTCCAAAAAAAAAAAAAAAAGAAAAAAAAGGAAAAAAAGCAAAGCAAACATATGAGCTAAAGTTCATGGAGAAAAAACTAAAAATCAGTTGAAAATGAGAAAGAGTTCAGAGAATTAAAGCATTATGTTGGCTTAAAAATTTTACGAATATATCAGAAAAATTTTGTATAAGAAAATGTTTAATTTTCTAAAAGATTAAAGGAAGTAAAAGTAATGTTTGATTTATGATTAGTTATGTTTAGCATTTTGTGCTATTTAATAATGATTAGCATTATGCAGTAGTAATTATTATTATTTTTTTTTTTTTGTTTTATTCTTTTTTTTTTTTAAAAAAAGAGGTGATTTTCAAAAAACGAAAAAAATGATGTCATGTTATATCTACATTTTGAAAAATAAATTTTTCATTTCTTTCAAAAATATTAAATGTTAATACGAATAGCAAAATTTTACTCCAAAATATTAGAGCTACTTTTTTCTAATTCTTCTCAGTAAACACCTCAAAATTTGTCTAGCATTTTCCATTTTCAACAATGAAAACGCAAGAATGATCCAAAAAAAAAGAGTAATAAGTGAAAGTATACTCCATCAATGGTTATATTTCTTTCTCCTTATATTAATCATTTAAGCTTCAATACTTTGTTACAAATATTTCATTTCTAATAGATACTTCTATTCTTATTGCTAATATTTATTGCCTCAACTGAATAATTTCACGCAATGCTTGGATAATTAATGAGAAATTCATTAATTTTAGAAAGATAAAACCTTACATTTCCCTATATCAAACTAATTTCAATAAATTCAAAAAAAAAAAAAAAAACTCCCTTATGTTACACTGATATTACATTAACAATTAATTTTATTAATATTCCTTCACCAATGACAAATGGATGAGATTCCTGGCTTATTTTTTATTTTATTTTATTTTTTATGGTACTAGTTGAAACAGGAAGATTAGACTGTTATCGGTTATGAAGAAAAAGGAAAGAAAGAAACTAAAAGTAAAAATGAAAAGTGACCTTTTATGTATGGCATATTTAGAAAAGGAAGAGAGAAAGTAATCCTTCTTCTTCTGCTTTTTCTTCTTCCTTTTCTCTTATTTTCCTTCTTCTTCCTAGTTTTTTTTTTCTTTTTCCTCTTATTTTTTTTAAAGAGAGAAAAGAAATAAGCAAAAGCACATGGATATTTGAACTTTGACAAATTTAGTATTTTAATAAAATAGTTTATGTTAAGAACAATGCTTTCTATCATTTTCATTTAATTAAAGCATATTTCGTACTCTCATCCAAAACAATTATTAAATAATTCTAATTTTTTGTTCTCATTTAATTTAATTACAAATATCATTGTATTTCATAAAAGATTATTAAATGAATCAACATTTCATTGAAAACAAAAATACATGAAAAAATTATTGACATTTTTGAATTTTTCGCCCATTTTTTCCTCAATTTTTTATCCAATCCATATCTTGAACATTTCAAATTTCATAAAACTCATATAATTTCATCAGTCATCTGTTTGAAAAAAACTAAATAGCAGTGTATAATTGTTTTATAAAAAAAGATAATTAGCATTAGTAATCATTGCGATGAATTCATCAATGCTTTCTTTCGAACTATTTTAAATCATTAATCTAATGATCTTAAAGATAAATCATCAATGATAAAATTATAAATGGTTCTGAATAAATTCATATGTAAATAATATTTTGAGTATTTTATAAAAGGGGCCATATAAAGTAAACATAATCGTCGTTCAGGTTAAAATTTGAAATATTTGTCAATTTCCATCCGACATTCGTTAGATTAACTTAATTTATTGCACTGTAAATATTTGATCATATCTGATCATTGATATCTATCTTAACTCAAAGAAAAAAAATATATGAACAATTCGTTTTTTTTTTTTTTTTTTTCTATTAGTTTTTATTCATTTTGTTATTAACATGGAAATAATAACTCTTTAAATTCTCTTTAATTGTACTTTTATATCATACAGTATTTATTACTACTTATTTTTTCTTCTAATTTGAAGCAAAGGATTGGAAAACTAATTGAAATTTCTAAGACAGATATTGCTATTCATTTCAGATAATAACACAACATGGTGATAAAATTGATGATGGTCACTTCATCTATACTATTTACGATTAATAATTATTTACAAAATTTAAAAAACTTGTTAGCTTAATTAATTAATCGAATTAAAGCTGATAGTTTGAAGAAATTTAAAAGATTATATTAGTTAGAAATCTTTGATATTGAATCAATCATTTTAATACTCGATGTCTTTCTATTCAATTTCTTGTAACACGCTAATATACTACCTAATTATCCAAACATTTTACAAAGAGGATTACGAAAATTTTGGAATGGTAGCAAAATTGCTTTTTTTTTTCTTTTTTTTTTTGTTCTCCCAAAGCACTTTCTAGAAAAACGATAAAGCAAGCGAAGTACAAATAAAATTTTGCACCACAAATCTATATAGACAATAAAAAATTTGATTAAAGTTGAAAAAAGAGAAAATTTCAAGATGAAACTTTAACATAAAATTTTTACATTTGAAGAAAAAATTTTCCATACGTTTGATTCCTTATACGAAAATTCATTTTTAAAACTGGTTACTCACATATGCAATAATAAATAATTGGATAAATGTTCCATCTTAATTATGTCTTCTAATTTTTCTTAGTTAAAGTTTTTAGTTCTTTTTAATGATTAAAAATTAATTTGTCCTTAATTCTAATTAACCTATTGATTAACGCTTTCTTTTTTTTTTTTTGTTTGTGTGTATCATAATGGAAATCATTTTTGCTGTACGATAAATGTGAGATTTACTGGGGTTCATCTATTAAATAACTTAAACTAGACTAAGTCTACTTCGAATTAGACTCATTAAGTGGATGAAGTTAGCCTTGAATTTGCTAATAAGCTTCCTATTCTTTGAACATTAAGTTATTTTGCTCTTTAATTCATTAGAATAATAAGCATTTTCTTTTTTTTTTTTGACTTGTATAATTTTTTTTTTGTTTTTCTTTCAAAATTTGCTTAATAAAATATAATCATTATATTGTTTTGTTTAAAAAATGAAAATTAAAAGAACCTATTATGCTTTGGTTAATAAAAATGTTTTTCAATTATCATGAAAATTTGAAAAATAAAAAATTTTTTCTTTCGGTTGAAAAAATTTCCTTTGCTTTGAAACATTAACAGAATGGTTCCACTTCTGCTAACAATTCAAGTGGTACTTTTGAATATATTTTAAATTGTTAAATGGTTGAGCAAATTTTGTTACAGAAAAC